GGATAAAATGGTGTCCTTGGCCTTTGTTTGTCAGAGGCTGGAGAGGGATGGCAGGAGACAAATCGCTTGATCACTGTCTTCAGTCCACCCTCTCTGGGACACCTGGTGCTGGCCACCGTCAGCAGGCAGGAAACTGGGCTAGATGGACCTTTGGTCTGACCAAGTACGGCTGTTCTTATGTTCTAATATGAAAATAGCCTTCAGTTTCACATTTGACGCCTTTTTTTGTTGGCGTCCGCCACACTCTTCTGAAAACATGAATGTGCTATTGGCCACCAAAAGGTTGGGGACCACTGGTGTAATTTGTGTTTGCATTAATTTTCTATTTATATAGTCCAAGAATACCAGAAGGGTATTATAGCTTGGGTTATAACTTGTTTTTTCTTTACCAGTGGGTCTCAACTTGTTCAGTATGAAAAGGCTTTAGACCAACCTTTTTGCCTGAGGTCAAGAGATCCATCTGTCCATCGTTTGGACAGATTCTGTCTCTCTCATTCTGTTCCGTTCATTATGTTCACTTGCCATGAAGTCAGTGGAAAACACCTGTGATTCCCCTGCTGGGGATCATCCAGTCACGGGGTAGTCCTCTTTGGCATAAAGCTGGCATGGCTGGTTCCTATATCTCTTTCCCCACAGCAGGCACAGAAGTGATTGGAACATACATTGTGCTTTCAGCTATCTCAGGATGACATGTGGCCCCTAAGAGTTCGTTGGCAACTTACACAACCTAGGTCATTCTCCAGACTGCTCAGTGATGGACTAGTGCAGAGAATCAGAGGTGTGATCGGTTGGTAGTTCTCAGTGCCTTTTTCTCTCCTCTCTTTGAGGTGGTTTTGAATGGAGCATGGAATCCAATCCTTTGCAGGTAGCTCCCAGACTCAGACTAACCCAGTGGTTGGCATCCTGCGGCCCAAGAGTCACATGAAGCTCATCAGGGATCTCTGTGTGGCCCATTTTGTTTACAGTTGCCCACATGCAGGGTTGCCAGATTCCACTGGTTTCCATCCATGACTTTATTTTTTTCCGATCTGTAATTACTGAAGTGACACACACAAAGCGAGGGCTCATGAAATGAGGTGTGTGCTAATTGAACACAACACTAATTGTGAGTTGTGAGCTCCCTCTGCATCCAATCAAAGCACTGCTATGGTTCAACCCTCACACTCCACAAATTCTAGGTACACAAGTGCAGTCAGCAAAACTACCCTATCCCAGAAGACTGTCTTGATTGTGACAATCTTGTGGTTCACTGAGGTAAAGGAGGGCCTCTCGTGTGGCCCACTCACTAGCTAGGTTGCTCATCACTATGCTATGCCATTTGAATGCCTACACTACTGTTCCATCCAGCCTGGCGCATAAGCAAACAATGAGTCAGCCAGAACCACTTTCTTCCCTCCTGATGTTATGTAATGCGTGATCAGAAGGTGAGTGAAAGCAGCTGCTCAGAGCCCTCCTGGCACACACATCTGTACTGTTCCTGTGACTGATAGCAGTGGGATGCAGTTGAGGGTTGAGCTCTCCATCCTCCCCATAGTAACAGCCAATCTGTAATCAAATAAACTTTTATATGAACACAGGCAACAATTTAGGGCAATTGTAAAATAGTGGAGTTGACTTTAATTTTGAACCCTCAGATTAAATGATTTATGTAAAATTTAATTTTACAATAGTTCTCTATAGCATTTTTTCCTAATATTTCTTATATCTAAAATTGTGATATATAACTTGAAATATAACATTAAATAATTTTGTAGTAGCTCGTGCTAGAAATAAATGAATGTAAAGTTAACAATGTACTATACATACAATATATTGCAAAATGATAAGAGTCCACAGGGTCTACCTGTTGGCAGATTCCAAGGTGCTCTGTATAACAGTGATAATTTTAAGCGAAAAAGCTTGGATAATTTATTTACCTTAAATAACCAGTAAATGTTTAACTTTAATTGTCTATAGAGTATCATATCATTATGTGAAGAAAAATTGAAGTTTACTTCCTCAAGTAATATTTGTCGAAGTCTATCTGCTGTTGGAAGAAGGGTGCTCTCAATAGAATCATTTGGTACTTTTCAAGGTAAACTTAATGTATTTCAGATTAAAATAATATTTTTCAGGAAGTCCTAATACACGCTTAATCAAAGAGTGTGATCTGCAAATATTATATTCTGTCACTGTACTTGTTTCTGTTGCTTAGAAAATAGAACCTATTTAATAACACTTGCATCAAAATATATGTGGATTGTCTTTTATTAAGAGAGCCAAACATTCAGTGAAAATAAACTTCCACTGAACAGTTAGTTTTCGATTCTGATTTATAATGACTTTAAAATGTTGTCCTTTCAGATTAAAAATGAGATGCTCAGAATCTTTTTCTATAATGTAAAAGGGGGAGGAGGGACAAAACCCTGCAAAGCATAAAAGAAAAGTTTTAGAAAACATGAAAGGTTTAAGCATATTTTTAATGTGCACCTCTGTTTTTGCATCTAGACAGCTGTGATAACATGTGGAAGGGAAAAGTGTGTCAGAGAAATGTGGAATTTAAATTATACACAAACGAAAAAAACAACACAGAAGGTGATTCCTCTTCAATGGAAGACATGACCTCAAGCTATCACAGAGCCTCTTCTGAAGCTAATATGGCCTTGAATGCAAGAGAATGTGGTTTAAAGGAAATGCAAGTTTATCTGGATAATGAAAGATGTCAACATTCACAACTTGCAGCTCAAACTAGAAAGAGCAAAGAAGAGGACAACCATGTATTATATAATGAAAGATGTGCTAACATATTTTTGGAGACCAAACCATTTACTAATGACCTAGAGAGAAATGGTTTTAAAAAAGGTTGTTTGAGAAAAATGAAAACTTTTCCAAAGCTACCACTTGAAGTTACAGACACGAATAATGTTTTAACATCTCTAACAAACAATGGACTTCTGATTCATAAAAAACAATCACTAACACATGACTCGGTACATCTAGAAAATAATCAGGTCGATTCAAAGAGAAAACTTAGTCCATTCAATATTAATAATCCACCAAGAATAAAACCAAAGAATTACCAAGTCTCTGATCTTCAATTAGATGCATCTTGCATATGCACGCAGGTCTCTGGCATGTATCATGAAGAATATATGCCATCTGTTAAGGATAAAAATAAAGTTTCTTTGGCATGTAAGCATATAGAAGAATATTCTCAGGCTACCTCTGAAACTCAACATACCAATGACACATTAAAAATCTCAGATCAGTCAGCTGCTGGAACAGAAATAGTAGACAATTATTCAGCACGGGAGGACTGTATCGAAACTTTTCAAGGGTCAAATAAAAATTGTTTATCACATCTTAATAAGATGACTTCAGTGTTATCAAAAAACAATAGGAATGGATATGGGTCAAGCCTAATTAGTTCTCCAGAATTGCTCAATATTGTGAGGAGTACAAACAATAACGAAAATCACTGTGGAAGCAGAGAATCAGAAGTCAAAAGTAATGAGCAGGTAGTACAAACAAAATCTTCATTATATAGTTGCTGTAGTCATTTATGCGGAGAGGAAATGACTTGAATATTATGTGTTATCCTTGTCTTTCCCCAAGTTAACCTAGCTTTTATAAAGTAGGATCTCACAAATCTGCATGCGTTAAAATTCACATAATGAATTCGATCTGTCCCTTTTTCTCACCAAAGATTTATAGGTAAGATGTCAAAGTAAGGAGTCCTGATTCTGAAGCCTTCATCATTTTAACATTTTTTCCAGGCTATACTTCTGTATGCTCACTAGTATGTTACAAAGTGGCAGCATATAATTTTAAATTAAAAACCATTTCTTGGGATAAAGCACGAAGTATATTTTGATCAACTATCTTTGGGGGTTGTTTTGGGGAAGGTTGGGTTGCTTTTGTGTTTCAGGAGGGTCATATATTTACTGACTCTCAAAATTCACCAAGTCGCAGTGAGCCTTCCAGGCATTAATAAGAATTAAGAGTGCTCAGGTGAGCTCCTGGCTTCACTCCTTTTTGTCTTTTAAAGCCATATGCATATTTAAGTTTATTTCAGAATTGTATAAATATATTCATCTTCCATTCTTAAAGGCCCATCTTTATATGTGCTATGTTACATTTCATAGTATGTATATATTATGTGTATGCATAATTGCATTCTGATACATTGACCAAAAATGTTTAGCTTCTAAGAAAAGCCAAAAAAGGGATGGAGTGGTGGAAGGAGAGAGTTGATGCTATTAGTGGTGTTTGCTAGACAATTGGTGCAACATTGACTACTTTTTGAAAGTTCTCAGAGTGGACAAGTTTTAGTCTGATTAGATGCTTTTCTCTTGTGTCACACTTGAACAAACCATGGAATAGGAGAATTTGTGAATATCTACTCGTGCTGTTTAAGCTTCTCTGGTTATGCTGTAACTTGTACAGAGTGAACAGCATGAAAGTTCTGTCCACGCTGGATTTGCATAATTTTGCCTAAAATGGAGGTTTCCTTTTAAAAATTAAATCCAATAAAATTATGTAAAGAAAAGATTGATCAACCTGCCTGCCATAAGAGTCTCTGCCTTATATCAGGTCTCAACTTTCAGGTATCTCCCCCTCAGCCTGAATAGTGGCAAATAACAAACAGATACCTAACTGAAGTGTATGTGATACAGCTAGGCTTCTGCATTATCAAAAAGGAACTCCATCTTGAAGACTTTATACCCTCACTTACATCTACACCCCCACATTGTTCCTGCCTACCAGGATCACAGTGCAAGCATGGACAAACTCCATTGGGTTCAGATTGCAGGGAATTCTTCTAACTACAGACACAGTGCCCCTGTGTTCTGTTCTAACCCCATGGATTTTTCATTTTCTTTGGCTTGTAAGATATTTGTTGCAGGTAATTATTTTTATCTGACCTTCTGTTATTTCCATTTATTCTGCTTACTCTTTGGGGGATGGGGGAAGTCAAATCGAAAATCAATCTAATATCTTTGTGCATGATGCAGTGATTATCAATTCCATTGAGTTTCCATGCACCTACTTTATTTCATAGTCGTGTGTGTGTGTGTGTGTCTGTCTGTCTGTCTGTCTGTAGCCTGCTCCTTCTGGACACAGATTTAATAAGTGTTTTTTACCTTTCACCTCCTCTCTTTCAGTGAGAAGTAGTATTTCCCCCACCACTACCACCTTGAATTCAGATATAAAACTCTCATTGTACTCTCATAGGGTAAGGATTTCACCCTGGATATTGTCTTAGTTAAGAATTCTGCATAAAATTTCAGGCTATGATAAATGAATACTTAATGCTCAAGAGACCCTATTAAAATCCAGAAGCTCTCCTAGGTCTGTGCCTAACATAGGATCTAGAAAAAAATCTACTACTGGCTTAAAGAAAGGGCCTTAGTGTGATAAGTTTATCTCACAGGAAGTTCTAGCTTTTTTGCAAACAAGATGTTGACAAAGGCATTGTCACATGTTCTCTGAGGTGTTGTGGTACTGCTCTCCTAAAAGAGCACCACTGACATTAATTTTTGTCCAAAACAATTCCTTAAAGTTCTAAAATTAAGTTGCCTTCTTAAGTAGATGTTTTTCACCTATCAACTAAACATGGAGTCATGGGCTCTTTAAAAAACCTTCCTTTAAAAGGAGGATTTACAAAAGCTAGCAACTGTCTTTCTGTTTTTAGTACCAAATGTATTTGTCTTCTGCAGTTTCCAATATATGGTAGCCTTTGCCTACAGAATCCCCTCCCCGTTTTTTTTTGTTTGTTTTTTTTAATCTCTATTCTTAGAGTTTGCAAAGGGGTATGACCCCTTTTGTGTGTAAGTGCCACACCTAACTTTTTCCCCACGTGTCCTGAATCTTATGTGCTTTTTCCAGTGAGGCCAAAAGAGACTCTAATTTCTATAGAACACTTTTTTTTTTCTTGGAATTGAACACACAATTTGCATGTGAGTGTTTTTTATTTACTGCAAGGGAACAAAGAGGGGATATGAGAATGTACTTTGCCACCTTTTCTCCTGAATAGGTAATGTGTATGTGAATTGATCTGCAAAGCTACTGTGTACTAGGCATTATATAGTACATATACAAATATCTACAAATACAGTTTTCAGTAGAACTATTCTAGCCTCTCCAAGTATTCTCTAATTATTTAGCATTCCTTCTAAGTCCCATCTAATTTGTGATTAACCTTGTCCACTCTGGAGAATAGACAGGGGTTTTCCTCTCCGAGGATACCTATCTTTCTAATGCCCTAACCCTGCTTCTGGTGTGCTTATGGCTAATTGGCAGTACTAAAAATGCTCACTTGCTAGTGTTGTGCTTCTGCAATGTATATTGTAAGGGCACTTAGTGATAGCTTGTCATTCCATAAATAAATATTTACCACTTCAAGGTTGAGTGGGGATCCTTTATTTCTCTAACCAATTTCATTCCAATCATGTGTATCTCATGCTTTTAAACGGTTTTTATAGAAATACTGTCGCTTTCACACCGGAGAGCCACTAACAGGAACCTTGAGTTAGAGGTTTGTGCTCCAAAATAGTCTATGTTCTGTTGGTCACTCATATCAGTCAAGTGTGACAGAAGTGAAAACCCACTTAGAGAATGACACTGACCATTGGTGGAATATCATTTAAAAAAAATAGTCTGTTTCATCGTGCTCTCTGACAGGACTAATATGTTACTCATTGCCTGATTATGGCTGTTTATAAGATGCCAGCATATGTTCACATAATATATTATTACTCTTGGCATAGAAGGCAGACATAGTATAGATTATTATTCACAGATGTTTGGGTGTGTAAAACTGTGATCAACAATGAGTTATAAGAATATCATGAAACATGTTTTCCTTGTTTTTTATCAACATCATTAATAGCCAAAAGTTATTGCTGCCTAGAATGCATATTAATCTATAATATACCTTCACAGTTCTCATCAAAGATACTTTGAAGAAAATATTTCCTTAAACTGGTCTTTGTAAACCGCTTTTAACATGAAAAGTTTACATTCCCAAAATATTGGAAATGCAAGAATTTTGCACAGACTTGTGCATATAAATATATGGCTGGTGGTGCAGTACTATAAATATGGGGCTGGTGGATAAAGTTGATATCAACAAGCTAGCTAATTCAGTGGTGCTACATGCTCTGAATATACTGTCTTTCTTAGACTTCATTTGCTGGACATCTCTAATGGCTATATCTGAAAAGCTTAAATAGGCTTTTAAAGAAAAAAAAAAAAAGTCCCACTGAATTCAGAGGAACAACAACATGAGAGTAAGGTTTAGTCATATGCTTAAATTATTTCGTGATGTGGGGTAAGGATGTTAAAGGCTACTCGACTATCCAATAAGCAAATGCTTATTGGATAATCCAGTTGACTAGTTGATTTCCCCTCCCCCTTGCTGCCTCTATTAGATAAAGGCAGGAAAGGGAGTGAGGTACTTCAAAGTACCTGAGATCTGTGTGGTACTACCCCTTTGAAACGCTGCCTTGGCATTTCAAAGCAGTAGTGCCACATGGAGCTGACTCCAGGCTCCATGTGGTGCTACCCCTTTGAAATGCCGTGGCTGGGTACTCCCTAGCTGACCCCAGGCTCCCTGCAGCATTTCTGTGGAGTCCCTAGCTGATCCTGGGTTTGAGCGGCGCTGCCACTTTGAAATGCACGAGCCCCCACTGGGGACTCTTTTTTTTTTTTTTTTTTTTTTTTTTTACATTTCAAAGCTAGTACGCCATGTGCAGCCTGGGGCCAGTGGGAAGTCCTGCTGACTCCGGGCTCCACATGGGTGCTTCTGCTTTGAAATGTACAAGAGCCCTCGGGGTGGGGGAGGTGCATTTCAAAGTAGAAGTGCCCTTGTGGAGTTCGAAGTCTATAGGACTTCCCACTGGCCCCGGGCTGCACGCAGAGTTCTGCATTCCTCCTTTGAAACGTACAAGATGTGGCAGTACCTATCTCCTTTGAAATGTACATCAACTAGTCAAGTAGTTGATGGAAATGCCATCGACTACTCGACTAGTAAGTTACCATTATTTAACATACTTAATTTGGAGCCTGGAGTAAAAAAAAGAAAAAAATTGCCTCATAGCAATAACTAAGAAAAGCAACATTGCTTCCAAAGTAAACTTCCTTTAATTGGACTCAGTCGAATGGTTATGCTCAAACAAGAGCATGGAGTATTTTCTGACAACATGCATGGTCCTCCTTCTTAATAATTTACACAGGGAGTAGGGACACTCAAGCCCTGATAGCAGCCTTCCTTTTCTTTCCTGTTTCCCTTCTCTCCATAGTGACAAACTTTTGGCATTGCATACCATCTTAGATAACCATTGTCTAGCATTCTATGGAATACATCCAACCAGAGGGGGCAATAACAATATTAGGTACAAGTTGAACCTCTCTAGTCTGGCACCCTCAGATCCTGACTAGTGCCACACCAGACAATTTGCCAAACCATGGGAGGTCAATATTGTCTAGCAGTATTACCAACACTTCCACTGCTTACTGGGCTCTTAGAAGACAGTTAGGGGTAAATTGGTGTTAAATAACAGGACAGAACATTAAGGACTGGGACTGGAGGCTGCAAACAAACTTTATGGGACTGCGGGAAACTTGGCCACACTTCTGATAAATGGACATCCAGCTAACTAAAATCATGCCAGACCCTGGATGTTGCTGGACCAGCAGGTGCTGGACTAGAGATGTTTAACCTCTAAGAAACCAAGGTAACCTCATGATGGAACTACAGGATTCTCTGTAGTCAGTACATTAATACTCCTAAATATCTACAGTTTTTATTTAATCCCTTTCCCCAAAACTGAGATCTAGGACACTTGCCAGAGAAATGTTACTCAGAATACCAAATAAATAATGCTTGTCTGCAACTTTTCTTTTTCCATCCCTCTCATGTCTATTTTTTTCTTATTTTTCTTCTTTGTTACCTTATTAAATTCTACTATCCTGCTGTATTCAATGTTCCTTTGTTTCCTTCATCCTCCCTCTCCTTCTCCCTGTATGTAGTGAGAGCATTTAGGATGTTTCTGCTCCCCTACTAACTTGTGTGTTTCATATTTACTCTCTGCGTTGTTTGAGCATTAAGGGTGGAGGCTGTTGCTGTATATGAGCATGGGGAACTAAACCATCTTCCTCCATCCCATGCCAGCGATTCATTAGCTCCTTGATTTGGTAAGAAGCACTCGATATGTGAAGTAGAGGAAGCAATCTGGGTACAAAAGGAGGAAAGGTATTATCAGCTTTCTGTGCAGAAGCTTTGAGTTCCTTTCAGAGTTGCAGACTGCAACAGCCGGTGGTATGAGCTTTCGTGGGCACAACCCACTTCTTCAGATGATGCCATCTACATGTTTTGTTAGTCTTTAAGGTGCTACTAGACTATTAGTTGTTTAAGTTTTTCCCGTTACAGACTACCTCAGCTACCTCTTTGAAGCTTGTGTGGCTTAAGTTAAAATAGCTTATTTCAGCATTTGGCGCTGTCTACACAGCAGGAAGTCAGAGGAAGAGCACTCATCCTTCAACTTCCCTTACCCCTCGTAAAATGAGGGTTACAGGAGTTGGAGTAAGAAGTCTTCCAGCTCAACATTATTTTGACCTTGTCGAAATAACTGCTTGTAGTGTAGCAATGGACTTTATTATTTTGGAATAATGGTAGTCACTACAAAATAACACTGTTGTGTAGATGTACTCAGACTGTCTGAGGAATTTCTTCAACTCTGGCAGTTATCCCATGGCTGAATTTGAAATTTTGAGATTGTATTTTAGTTTTAAAGACTTTCTCCAGGAGGAAGTCATAGGCACAGTTCGGGGTCAAGTCAGAAATCTTACTCCAAAGCAACTATTCATAAATTATAGCCTAGGAAGTACTAGTGCCTACGAAGAAGAGTAAATACTCTTTTGTGTTAGTACAGTAGTATTCCTTTACACTAGTGTGATGGCCATGTATAAATATCTAGCTTGATTAACAAGCTACAACTTTTAGTTATGCAGTATGCCACTGGTGTACATTTAAGTTGTCAACAATTACTAAAAATAATAAAATGTTCCACTTACACATAATCCTGACATTTTTTGGTTCAGTGTTATGTAACTTGTTTCACAGAAGTACAAGAAACATTGATGAAATCTTTAAGGTAAGATCTATATGCTACTGTTAAGATAGATCAGAATTGCTGCTCTTTGCAGTTCCTGCACAGGAGTATTCTTTAATCCCACTCCTGCTATTATGCCAGTGGTCCTATGGAACCTATGGGATCCCAGGCCTCCTGCAGGGCTCTCCATGTGTCTCATGCAGGACTCTACCAGGCAGTGTCTCTTCTTTAATTACTTCTGTCATCATGCTGCAAAGAATCTTTATGTAGTGATAAGCAAGAAGATTTCAAACGGACCAGCTCTCCAGAAATACATTTCCCACCCCCCTTTCTGTTAAAGCTAATTTAAATTTAGTTTTTTTTCTGTGTTTCAGACATTTAGAATCAATTTATCTTGTAGTTGTGCAAAGGTTTTTCTATGGGAAGTTACCAGTGACATTTAGTAACAATAAATGGAATAAAATGTCTAAGCCCAATGCCTTTAAAATGTGTTCCTTTAGTTTAAAGTACTTTTTATCCAAATGTCAGATACTTTTACTTTTAGAAATGTTTGTCTTATAACTTCTTTCCCTCCTATTTTATTTTCAGTGCATCTCTCTGAAACTACTTTTGTCTCGGTATGGTAAGCCATTGAAAGACTATGAACTCTGGGCATTATGTCATGAATGCTTATTTACTCTGCAGACTTACCTAGATTATCCAGGTATTGCCTTTGTGGCTTCTAAATACTCTAAATGTATATTCACTGTTTAGTATCTTGCATAAATTATTGCTGAATATAGATCAGGATTTTTCACTGCATATGTCAATTTAAATGTTTCTTCTACAACTCAAATGAAACCTGAAATCTTAAAATATTGTGGTTAATTTCAGTTAGAGGCTGTGATTTTAAATTTTTAGTGCACTTGGAGTTAAGGGGTGGGTGGGTGTGTGTGTGTGTGTGTGTGTGTGTGTGTTTTGGTCTTTTAGTATGTCGGAGGAAATACATAAAGTGATTAATTTCCTTTGGTGAGAATCTGTGCTTTACCTTTAACAAGCACATGGAAGACTCCTGTATGTTCCAGCATCCTTCTGGGATTACATAGTGTTGGATCCCCACAGTGTTGTTTGCTGAGGCTCTCTCTCTTCCTCTTCCCCCTTCTCACACATGTCCCTATATCAGGCTGTAATGGGGGAATCCTCCCACAGCTGGAACCTGGACACTTAAGACCCCTGTTTACTACTGTGCCCTCTGGCATAAAGAGGTTGCAGTGAGGAGGAAGATTTCATGTGTGTTCTCCTGAATTTTAGTAGGAATGTTGAACATATTTCATCTGGCTTACACTAATGATAAACAATTTTAATATAAAGATTTTTTTTCCCTTTGCTTTCTATTTGTTTTAAAATTTTGCCTGAGGATACTAGTTAAATCAGTAGTGAATAAATATAAACATATAAGTAGTAAAATATAATAATTCATATCATTTTAGGATTGTGTTCATTCAGCCATTTTATCTTTTTATAGTATTAAAATTATTAAAGGAAACTAGCTATAAAAGTAGATGTTGTGTCTGTGCACTTTAAGCTATACTGCTCTTCAACTAAACATTTGATAGCTGTGGTGAGTCAGAGAAGATTTCAGCACCATAGTGCATGCCCCTCATGTTTGGAAAGACTCCAAATTACTGCATAGAATGGGCCAGATTCTAACTTAATATGCCTAGGAAACCTCTACTACTGCGCATATACATGCATCCAGAGAGTGGCTGTGTTTCAAGATACTGATGCAGTTTGCATATCTGAGATTTTAACTTTGTCTAGCATTTGAAAATTAAAAACTGTTTAATATTACTGGTTTGTATCACAACTTTAAGTGGGGGTATCCTCCCTTCATTCTCCAATCTTCATTTTGGGGTCTTCTGTCTTTCAGTGTGAAACTTTTTTGAGCTAAAAATTGTTCTTCAATTTAGAACCATTCTGATAAGGAAAATGTATTCCCTCTCCCTCTCTGTATTTACTCATTCTAGAACAGCTTTATTTCACTTGATACTTACTGAAACTATTTCTTACTGGTTTTTTAAGACCCCCTTTCCCTCCACATTCTTCAGAATGAGTCATTGTACCCATTCTTGAGTCTTTTTAAAATGTATGAATTTTTAACCTACTTTGTCTTCATTATGGCAGTAAAAGACTGACAGTGTAGAATAATGACAGATTAAATGACAATAGGAAACTGACTGGCTTGAGTGACTGTTAATTTTGAGACTTTAAAATATAGCTTTCTGTAACTAAATTCATTTTAACCAAAGCACCTTTTTTCTTTTCAAATTTGGGAATGATTATTAATTACAGGATTACAAAATATATCTGATTGAAGCATATCAGGCCTGTTACAACCTTTGAGTGGATAGCATTTTATTATACTGTTTACTCTGAATGTGCCCACCTGTACCTGAAATCCATTTTATGAAAACCTATACAGTGAATGGTACTGGAACAACATATTCTGTTTTTGTATTAGTTTTTTGAATGAGGGAGTTAGGTATATTAAATGTATATACATATTATAGGCCTTCCTCAGATTAACTACTTTGATTTTAACCTGCTTATAGGCCTTCCTCAGATTAACTACTTTGATTTTTAACCTGCCTGACTGTCAGAAGTTCAAAAGCCAATAATGTATCTATTGTGTGATGTTATGATTAATCAATATTTATATTCTATATGCTCATCATGTTCTAGTTAATTTGTAGGATTTGGAAAGTATAAGATGGATCTGTATTTAGAAGAACTAAGTATTAGATATGAGTAAGGCAAGCTGAAATGTAAGGGCTTGTAGACTGAGGCCTGGAAGACTTTAGCTATTTTGGGCCTTGGAGACAAGAAATAAATATGTGACCAAGAAATAACCTAGTTCCCTAAGATTGTGGGAAAAGGAGGTAGCAGCTGTTAAAATGGCAGAAAATTACCCAAATATTAATATTAGATCATAAAAATACTGTAAAGGAAACATGGGTCTTCACCACAAGATACAGATTGTCCGTGCTAATGAGAATAAAGGGGATTTACACAGTCTATAGAAAATTGGGGTCCCTTAGGTTTCCTGGGACACAGACCAATAAGAGAAAAGAAGGTTGAGACTTTAATGGATGTATGCAGAATGTAGGTGTAGACAGAATCACATAATAAAAAGAAAGTACCTAGAATGGGAAAATGAAGGTCCCTGTGAGGGACGCCAGCTAGAACCATCCATATACTGATGGTCAAGCTGTGAGATCCATCAAACCTCAACATTATCATTAAGGATATATTACTGTATTTGTAATTTGTGAATAGGCCTGTGTAGAATTTCTATATACTTGGGCAATCATAACTTGTCTTACAAATTTTATTAAAGTATGAATTAAAGACAAGACTAGACCGGGGTAGGCAATAATTTTTATGGGGCGAGGAAATTGGTCAAGGACCACACTCTTCCATTATATTAATGGAGGAGGTCTGGGATGGAAGTTGAGTTCAGGAGGGAGCTTGGGTGAAAGGAAGGAGGGTAGGGTCTGGGAGGGAATTTGGGTGAAGGAGGCAGTTGTGACATGAAGCACTAGACTGGGGTACAGAGGTTTGGATTGTGACCTAGGGCAGCAGGGAGTTGTGACCTGGGGCAGAGGATTGGGGCGCAGGATCTGGAAGGAGGCATGGGTGCAGAAGGGGGGGGAGAGGGATTGGGTTATGTGGGATGGGGGCAGGAGTGAGGGGCAGAGCGTTAGGAGGTGGAGGGACTGGAGTATCAGAGGCAGGCTGTGACTGGGAGACTTACCTGGGTAACCCCCAGCCAGCAGCCCAGCATACTTGTGAGGCAGCTTCCCTGCCTGCCCCACTTCTGCACAGGCTGCAGGAGCTATGTGCACAAATAAATATGAGTCAGAGGGGTATGGTGCTTCGTGTGCTGCCTGGTTTTCAAACGGGCAGGTTTCATTGGCCAGAAATCAGTCAATGTGATTGTGCTGGGGGTGGGGACAGCTCAGAAGCCTGGCTGGGGCTCCCTGCTGCATCTGCAGGCTGGATCTGGTGGCTTGGCCAGCCTCATTTGGCCCACAAGCCGTATTTTGCCCAGCCCTGGACTAGACTTTGTGAATATGTTTGTGGTCACTACCCTTAGTCTTTGGCTTCCTAGAAAGACTAGCCCTAAAGAAAGTAGCAGAGGTGACTTTCACTCTATTAAACCTAAAACTGTAGCTGCCGGAACCAACCTCACACTAGAAAATTCACTTCAATTAAAACAAAAGGCTATACTATGCTGTCCTATGTGTAGGCTTCCCTTCTTGAACATATTTATAAAGCCACCTTTTCTTCCTTCAGATCCCTTATTTTCCAGATAATTAGCTAATTAAGAATGAGGTAGCTCAGCTGCATTTAAAATACCCTATACATCTTTGTATTTTGAGCCTAATCATACACTGGGATCTGGTATTATGGATCTCTGCATGCACAGAGTCCTTTTTTTGCAAATTTGATTATTTCCATTCCTCTTATCTTTTGTAAGCTTCATGCAGAAAGATTCTTTCCCCCTGCAGTCTGATCCTTGCAGAACTCCCAATGATTTCAGTGAGGCTCCAGGATTGGCTTCCATGGATCTGATTTCAGGTTCAGGGCATTAAAATCTAAACTTGTTAGAGTGTATATAGTGCAAAGAGTTCCTAGTCCTAATGGTGATTCTGGGCAGTGCCTCAGTTGTTATATAATAAGTAATGATCCCCACTTCCAAGTCCAGGAAAGCATCCCTCTTCAGGACAGTATCGAAGGATGGGACTGTGTACTATTGAAGACAATGGCATTTAAGCATTAAGTTAATCACAGGCTAAGTGCTCTCCTGAGTTGAGGCTAATAACTCAGTTTCCATGCTGTACTGTCTTAACTTGCTTTTTTTGGATTTGTTAATGGCTTTTTCACATTTTTCTCAGATCATATTCAAACTTCTCTCTCTTTTTTAGAATGTATATCATGTAAATTTATTGTCCTAATACTTTTTTTCATAGGAAAAGGCTTTATTTGATGATTTCCCACTGGGGCAGAACCACATTAATCAGATGGCTTATCATATCCAAGTACCTTAAGATGGTCTATACTTTTAAGAACTAAGAGATGAGGTCTTGCCCATCTGTTTTCAATGGTTAAGTTTTTATAAAATGTTCTTACATTCTTAATGTTAAATATAGGAAAATTAGGTTCTTCAGAATTCATCTTAGTTAAAATATTTATGTATCAAATATATTTTTAGAGTAGGGTTGAGGGTCTAATCAGCAAATGCTTATTATGCAAGTGAGAATCTTCTGTAGTGAGCCTACTTGGATAAGTAAAGCTACTTATGCACAAGTGTTTGCTGGATTGGACTTTAAATATTAAAATTCCCAGAGGAGTCATGAATCTGTCTTGCTACCAAACATTCCTTCAATTCCTTTCCAGATAGTGGCACTTCCAGATAGTGGCACTTCTGTGTTCAGTCTCCTTGGCAACATTGCCTCTGCAGTTACTGTCAGTAGTCCCAGTTAATTTCACTTTAGAGGGACCGTAGTTGAGCATTTGTTACATTTAATCTCCACTGTATTATCACTTCAAGGTTTTAGAAGAAAAAGTCTTAGGCTAGTAATTTCATACCTTCAGGTTTATCTTGTGAGGAAACTAGGGAAGATCCAGTCAGAGCTGCTTCTTTTGTTCTCATCTTACATCACTCTTCTGCACTACATGAAAAGAGAATTTACATGCAGTATTCTGATGTTGTTATGAAATTCTTTCTGTTCCTAAAGGTCTAACTTTGTCTTGCTTTCTTGTTTTTATTCTGGGTAATTTTATTAACCTTTTAAAGTTTTTGCTGGTTTGTGTCTCGAGTTTTATTTAAATATATCACACAAACTTAATGTGTTACGTCATTCGTCAGGCTGTTACTAGTAAATATTGTTCGAACAAATTCAGTCATAATTATTGGTGTTTGAAGAATGAATTCTAAGGATGCACTTTGGTATAGCTAAGACTGTCTTGTGACCTATTTTGCAGTGTTTTTATGTTTGGATTCTGTGCTGATTGATTGTCATGGAAATGTTCTCTTTGCTGCTCCAGAAGATGAAGGTAAAACAGTTATTAAAAACTACTCCCTATCCCTGCCTTCTTGCTGTGAAAGGGAGGAAAGCAAATGTGTTACTTTTTGTTTTGTTTTCGTTTGTGTTGTGATTTATTTTTAGAGTATTATGATGCATTTTATCTGGCTCCTGAAATTGAAGAAGTGGATTTTGTTACTGAGAAGGTAATGTCATACGATTCTGAGGCATGTCTGTATCTTACATGTGAGTAGTTATGCATTTTATTTAGGCAAGAAAATAGACTGCTGCATATATCTGCTGTTCACCGAGGCTTGAGGCTGAAAGCTAAATATTTTCAAAATTCAGTGAGTACATCTCTCATCCACCAAATGTTTGGTATTACTTTCATGAATAAAATGATGGCTTCTTATGAAGCACTTCTCATTTTTTTCCCCAAGTATTGAAGTGTGAACCCAAAAATCTATTTTCAAATGCACTTCCATAAAGCTTGATTGCTTTTAATCCATTCACAATGGAAATGGCACTGGAGGCTACAGCATTATAAATTATTAATTTAATGCAGAAACAAGCACTTCAAAGCTAGGGCTTCAGTCTAGAGTCTCTGTGGGGAATCTACCAGCAGATCTGTGCTGGTATAATTCTACTGCTATTGCTCTACTGGTACAAATCCCTGTGTTACTCCAGAATGTGTGTCCAGGTGGGGAATTACATCAGTATGATAGTGGTATGATTATCAGTAGAATTATGCTGGTATAAATTTCTCATTAATTCTACAGATAAATTTCTCTATGTAGAGAAATCCTAAGGAACACTCAGCTAAAGAGGATGATAGTAATAAAGAGCACTATGCCCTGGTCTACACTTATTTCGAAATAACAAGTAGAGCATCCACACTACTAAGCTCATTTATTTTGAAATAACAGGCTGGTTATTTTGAAATAATAATTCTTACTTTCCATGAGGAATAATGCACATTTCAAAATAGTTATTTGAAATAGTAGTAAGCATGGACACTCCACTGCTGCTATTTTGAAATAAATACTCCTCGGAGTCATTCGAAGTAATTACTCCCCAGTGCTTCCTGGGGCTTTAAGTCAAGGTAGCATGTCCACATTGAGGAGCCTGCTGCCTTTGACTGTTTGCTTCCCTGTAGTGTGGACATTCTATTTCAAAATAGTTGTTCAAAATAATTTCCTAGTGTAGATATGCCTGAAGTGTGCTTATTATCTTCAGAACAGTTGCAAACAGCTAGATACTTGTACTATGAAATTGGTCATCATCTTGTGTTTTTGCACCACAATCCTAGGTTCTTTCAATGCTGGGCCTACAGACCAATGCTTGGTCTGTAGCTCTGACCAGGTATTTGATAGAATGCAGCTCCTCCAGGTTTTAGCAGACCAATAAATATTCCATGGTTTGTTTCTGGGTTGTTGGAATAGACCCACTCCACATATTGACTTTTGACCCACGTGTTCTCATTTGAAGTTGGTTTAAACATCTCCAAGTTGACCTATCCTTTTCTGCACTCATGAGAAGGTGTTGGTGGCATCACAGTGCATTTTGACATCCTTGTTTATTTTGAGCCGTGTACCATCTTTCCAGTCATGTATCTGTCAGTGATTTTGTTTTATAAGGAGGTCTGTTGCAGATAGGAAGTTTTGTCCATGATTTCAAGAGGATAACTACTGTTGCAGGGCTACACTGAAGAAGTCCAGTATCTTAAACCTGTTCTAGTTGTACCATTTTGTTTGTTACCACTCTCCTAATAGCTAATGGAGTGACTCTGGGAAGTGATTCTATTCATGTTCGTTGGTTTTAGACTCCTATGGTGGAGTGGCAGCTGTCATTCAACACAGGGTCCAATTTCTTTGCATGAGCAGATCCTTTCTACATCAGACAAGTATATTTGATCATCGCAGAACAAAGTGAAGTGCAGTTGTTCTGTTTGCATGGTTCCCCGTTTTTAACTTCCAAGCTTCCTGTATGAGTTGTTCTAGATGCTAACTTTGCATTTAGTCTTTTCCATGTGCACTTTAAAGGTGAGAGTGTGGTCTATCATTGCTTCAAGATAGACAGGATTCCAGCAATGGGCGCATGATAACCCATTCCAGATAAGTTGTCTGTTGACCTCATGATTGTGAAGATGGAAGACTCACTTGCTTTTTGGCAGCGTTAGCATGCAATTGGCATTTCTTGTAATAAACTGAGAGCCTGGACAGCACCAATATTTAGTCTGTCTGTTGCTGGTTCCTCTTAAATTGCGTCTTTGTTAAAAAGCTACTCAGACTTCTTCAAAGGCCTCAGAGCTGATGCTGTGGTTTGAACTGAACATGCAAAATGGCAGTTTTAGCATAAAGTGGAAAATTTAAGCATCCAAAGGCTACAGTTTTTGTTGCTTTTTAGATTGCTTGATGTTAATAACGTAAGATGTATACAAATTTTAGATTTGCTGGTCTCTTTCTAGTTTTTATCAAACTCCAGATTTGGTGAGGGTTTCTTAGTATTCTTACAGCCATTTCGCTGATACAAATTTAGGTCTCATTATCATTCCCTACCTGGTTTGTTGATTACAGAATATGTCTCTTTAGGGATATGGAGACTGCAACCCCTGCAATCTCAAATGCAGCAGGGCTTTGTTTCAGTTTGTGGCATGGGAAAAGGATAGTGACTTCATTATGGCTATGTCTAGACTGCAAGCCTCTTTCGAAAGAAAGCGTCTAGACTGCACACGGAACTTTCGAAAAAGCAAGCCACTTTTTCGAAAGAAAGCAGCAAGTGAGTCTGGATACTCTTTTTAAAAAGCCCTGTTTGCTTTCAAGATAAACCAGTGGATCCTGTGCATGTGTAGGAGGGAATATAGCTCTGTTCCGCCAACCTGAGCCCTCTTAGACACCATTCATGTCATTCATCAATCAGCTTTGGTATGTGTATGTAATATAACAGCTTCTTGTCATCTTGATATTGGTGTACCTGTGTTCCTGGCCTTATTGTACAAGTAGCCTCTTGACATGTTCCCTTGAGGGTACTGATTTCATTCATGCTATTCCCTAATTTCAGTGCTTTCTTCATCCATAAATAATGTGCAAACCTTTCTTTTTATTTTTTTAATTCTATATTAAGTTTGTAACTTGCTTCTTTTTAGACCATTTCCAGTACTTCCAAGAACTTCTGAACAAGTCATAAGATTTGTTTTTATTCCTTTAGATCCAGTATTCCTGAATCTTTAAGGATGTTGATTTTTCTCTGTGCTTCCAAATAATTCATCCTGGAAGCATGTAAGCTTTCTATTAAAACAGTACAGGACAAAATGGAAACATGTTCTTGGTTCCCTGACTGTAAAATTTAGGTCTTGCCCAGATAGAACTTATTTAATTTATACATCCTGGCTGCGTCTACACTGGCAAGATTTTGCGCAAAATCTTGCCGCCTGTCTACACTGGCCATGAGTATTTGCACAAGAACACTGATGTTCTACTGTATGAAATCAGTGCTTCTTGCCCAAATACTCTGACACACCCACTCAGGGATAAGTCCTATTGCACAAGTGTTCTTGTGCAAGAGGCCAGTATAGACAGGTAACATAAATTACCTGCACAAGAAAGCTCAATGGCTAAAATGGTCATCGGAGCTTTCTTGCGCAAGAGTGTGTACACTGGCACATGCCAGTATAGATGCTTTCTTGCGCAAATACTTTTAACGGAAAAACTTTTCCGTTAAAGGTATTTGCGCAAAATCATGCCAGTGTAGATGCAGCCATTGTGAAATTAATAGTTGTGACTACAGTGTGAGAATTTGAGCAATGTAATTCCAGTCAAATGATTGTGCTAGTCATTTCCCTGTCTAAAAAAAAAAATCTTTGGAAGTCTGTCCTCAGTTGAAAGGTCATTTTAGTAAATTTATGAACTCTTAGGGAGAAATCCTGGTCCTGTTGAAATCCATGGCAAAACTCCAGTTGACTTCAAAGGAGCCAGATGTTGTCTCTTATAGGTGGGAGTTTTGCTAATGACTTCATTGAGATCAAGATTTGGTGACTTATGTATGCGTTAAATTTTGACTGATGAAATGTTGATGCAGAAACAGCCACAACCTTACTACTTACTTCTGTAAAATATTAAAGGATGTTAAAGCAGTGCCACTTTGTTTACTTAAAGGTCTATAGCTCTTACAGCTCCCATTGGCTCTGGTTCATTGTATCTAGCCAAGGGAAGCCGTGGGAAGCAGCTGCATTTGGGGCAGGATCCCAGTTTGCAATTCACCTGGAATTATTTTCATATGAAAGATTTTCTATAAAATGACACAATCTTGGCTTTCCCCCTAAATCCTCTTGCATATATTAAGAGAAAGAGTAAGGCAACTAATGAGTGTTGACCTTGATTTGGAAAATCAGCTGCTATTCTTATGTATAACAACTATTTCCTGTCATATACTAGGGTGTACAAGAGCATATTTGAGGGCAGAATGCAGTCAGTTCTTTGGATGTTCATGTTTTATTACTGCTGTCCTTGCCTCTACATTTTACATTTGCTTTTTCAACAGGTCTGTATTTACTGTGTTGCTGCAGTTTTGTGGACAGCAGCCAAATACAATTATCCACCTGATCAAAAACTAGTGTTACCAAGGAAACTAAAGACTCTTCTTCTGGATATGGCAAAAAAACACTCTGAAGAAAGGCCTTCTTTAGCTGATGCAATTAAGGTGACTTGATGAGGAAGCAGTTTTATAATATTAGGTGTTCACTCATAGCTAGAAACCTATTAATAATGAAATTGAATATCAAAATATATCAATTTTTTTATGGTCTAATAGCTCATAAAATGGTAACCAATCACTTTTTTGCTTTTGTGCTTTAATGGTGCCCTTGAGGGTTAATGGGTGTATTTGAATCCATTTTGAAGTTGTCAACCAGTTAGTTGGAACAAGTTAATAAAACTTTCTGAATTACATTTACAGAATTGAATACTTATCTTGACAGTGCTCCTCTATTAAGTATCTTAATTGAGTGGAAATTTTTCTTAATTCAGAATGTTTAATATTTTTAGATATGCAGTAGTTATCTCCTTGAGCAAAGTATAAACAGCAAAAAGGTTCTGGCATTGTTAAGTAAATCTGCCTTCAAGGTAGGAGCAATTTTTCTTCAATATATTACATTTTTCCAATTATTTCTATGCTATGTGTTCTAGTAAGATTTTTGTGATGGCTGTGTAATTCTTTTGTTCTTTCAGTTTGTAAATTCTTGTAACTGATTAGGTTGTTGCTCCCGTGGGGACATAATCATTTAATATAAAAGTATTTGGGTATTGCTGAAAATGAATATTTTTTTTCATTTCATGAAGGAATATAAAATAGATATGAAAATTGTATTCTATTTTTAGAAAGCTTAGCTGATTTCTAATGCCTGCTTGTAGCTGTATATTCTAGCAGCTACATTCAAATTCAATATATGTGAATAATTGACTTCCAGATTCTGTAGGTCTTCAAAGCAATGTTAAAATCCATTCTTAATAGAGAACAGCATGTCAAGAAGTTGGGTGTTCTAATTTAAGGCTAGGACATTGTAGGAGACTAGTGTAGAAACCCCAAAACCAGTTTAGGGGAGAGCAATTTTTTATGCTTTTGTTGTAGCTGGTGCAATGGAGCAAAGAATTTGTATGAAGAAAAAATATTTTGAGCCAGTGAAGTACAGCAGTGTCTCAAACTTCAGCACAAATTCAATAAAGCTAATAATGTAAGGAAAAGAAAGGATGGTGAAACAAATATAAAGTTTCTCTTCTCCTTTCTGGTACCTGGCTGCATACTTAAGTTCTCCCCTCTTCTTGTGCATACCAGTACAAGAAGCATTTGATTTGAACACACACATGCATGCACACCCAGTGATGGTGGGAGATGTTTCAGGGCAGGGGTTTGAGGGAGTTGATACGAAATTTGTGTGTGGTGCGGCTCAGGACTGGAGATTGAGGTGAGGGGGTTCAGGGCAGTGTGCTGGAGTATGATAAAATGTTCAGTTTGTATGAGCTTGCTACAAATAGTTCTACTACTCAGAGGAGATCTATATCCCCTCCATCTTTACCCTTCTGCCCTCACACAGTTAGGTCCTCCTTTGGAAATTACAAGAGGTTGCAAAACCATGAAACACTCTGTTAAAGATAATATTAGTAATAACTTGCTGGGGCTGTTTGAGTAAAGTATTTGCTTTGTTTGTTCAGACTATGGATCTTGCTTTTTACTCTTAGGCTTTCAAGGAAGAAGTAAACTCTTTCCAAGATAATGTTCCTTTTAAGTCTAAAAATAAAAATAAGAAAATAGATGCTTCAGAGTCTAGTCTAGGTAAGTAATCAAGTTGTTGTATGGCTATTCCTTTGTTCTAGGGTCAACATTTACATTATTGCCAAATATTGTGTAACACAGCTGTGAAAAATATCTTTTTAAACAGTTTATTTACTTTGTCTTTATATTTTATGAGCATTGCTTGTCTTTAACCTGCTTCTGTTTATTTTTCCAGGATTTGTGCCAATTACTAGTGAAAGTAAGCTTATAGCAATTAAAGGGCCAGTGCCTTGTCAAACGTCTTTAAACAGTGAGGCAAGTACATTGCCTGTTGCGTTCACCTCTTCTGCAACTCACTTTAAGCCTATTATACTGCAGCAAAACACAGAGATAACAAAGTATGTATGTGCTAATCCAGTGTAAGTTAAAATGGAAATGTCACACTTAAATCTAACACAGCTGTCCTTACAAAATGCTTTGCTTTTTCCCACTCCCCAGAGAGATGCATACATCTACTTCTCAACAACTTGATAGATCTGGAAAGAAAGAAATGCCTATGGATGGCAACAACAAATCAGCATCTGTAGTTGACACTGAAAACCATGCTGCTGAAGAAGTTATAGCTGCACTTGAGATATCCAAGCAAGATTTAGAAACACAAAACCATTTATCCCAAATACTTTCAAAGGAGCAAAGTCCAAGCAATATGGTTAAATCCACAGTTGAATCGCCATCACTATCAGATTCCTTATGCAATTTACAAGAAAAGAACACTTCATCTCCAATTTCTTCAAGCTCCTCAGCTTCTGCCATGCCACAGAGGCCACCTCTTATAAATAACTTCCTTCTCAATCAGGACCCAGAGACAAAAGTGTTAACGCTTGTACCAGTGCAGCTAGCTATATCAGAGCAAATACCAAATAAACCTCTTGAGTCACAAATGGCTTATGATTGCTATAATCATTTGCCTGTGCGCCTTTTAAGTACAATAGCAAATTATAACACTGATATAAATCTACAAAATAAATCCTCCCTTTGCCAGCTACAGAACGATGAACCCACTAAAGTACAGACAAAACATGATAAAATGAAATCCGAAATCTATAGTTTGTCATTGCCTTCAACTAATCAAATTATTCAAACCAGCTATCTAGAAAACAAAGAATGTAATACTGAAATAGGCAGTATCTTATCTTTACCAGGACACATAACACATTCATCAGTGAATCAGAATGTGTCTTCACCCTTCAGTGTAGAAATATTATCCCAGAAAAGTGGGATAAATAACACTTTATTACAGAAAACAGTGAATCTTATACAAGAAGAATTTGCATTTGATGGCTATCTGGAAAATGGAGCTGAAGTTCTTGTTATGGGTATGTAGATCATTATCTTTGTGGATAAATATATTCTTAGACAGAAAAAAATCCTAAATAATCATATTTTTTTTTTTTTAACAAGGTAACTATATTTTCACCTTAAAGGATCTTAAGTTTGACGTTTTCTGTGCTGCAGTTTCTGAGAAGTTTTGTGACCTTTATTGGGATGAAAAATTACTGGAGAATCTTTACAAGGTAGTAAATGGGAAAACCACTCCACAAGCAGGGTAAGTGTTACTTGCATTCCTCACACTTGAGGGCTCATTTAACGCTTCTTCTGGGTTCAAAGGGCACCAGCTTACTTTATCCTTGTTTGCGCATATTGATTTGAACTCTGTGCAGAACGCTCAGTGCTTCTGTTTGAAAGATGCTGTATAGTCAGAATTGAGATGTAATGTACATACTGATGCAGTAGTGCAACTTGGAAGACATCCAGAGTTGAGGACTATAGGTCGTGCTGGTCTGATTGAAAATCCAGCCCCAGTGGAGAAAGGCATCTCAAGTAGGTAGGCCCCTGGAAGCCACTGAAAATTGTATTCTAAATTCTCCTGCTGCCTTTGAAAATCCTAGCCTTTAAAGTTGTGCAGGCAGCATACTCAGCCGTTATGACTGGATTCTTGAAGTATCTGAATCAGTCATTCTCAGCATGAGGTGCTGATGTGATGTTTAAGGCCCTTGATAGAGGAAGGAGAAAAGGACACGCATCATCCTGTTCACTCAATAGAAAAAGATAAACTCAGTTTTTGGACTATAGTGGAAAAACTGCCAACAACATCTTCCTGAGATACTGCTTTTACAATAAAAGACCTCCAGATGCATGGAGCCTGGCAATTTAGAATTGATAGGTTAGGCACTCCTGTGAGTGATGTTATCTTTTTTTAGTACATTTTAGCAGATTTTGTAATTGAAATTTATAGTAAGCTTCTCCTTTGTGGATAGGGTGATGACACATCCTAGCTTACTGGAATTTTTCCTGTTTCATATAACAGTTCTGATATCCTAGTTTTCAATGTATTCCTCAGATGATCTTATTTCTGTACCATCTATCGCCCATGCATTGGCCATGCCTTAGCAACTCACCAGGAAGCAAAACTGAAATTCTCTCCTAGCTGAATGGCTAAAAGGAATGCCAATGTATAAAGCTGTTGTGGAAAACAAACTGGATTGAGGAAGATGAATAAAGGAAGGTGGGGGGCAGAGAAAAGTGGACCTGCTGAGTATCTTTTAAACCTTACTGGGTGAGACAGAAAGGTAGAGTTTAGGAGTGGGGGAAAGAATGAGTGGTAGAAGGTGCAGTGAGCAAAATAATAGAACCCTGAAAAGGGGATAGAAAATATGCATAGAAAGAATAAAAATATAAGAACTGAAGGTGTGTATATGTGGTGGAAGTTAAAATGAATAAAAACAGCTACTGGGCAAAAAATATACTGGAGGATTGCAGGCAAAATGTGGGATTTTTGTTTTGTTTTGTTTGAACTTAACACTGTTTTGTTCATCTCAGAATTGTGGTTATCTTAAATAGGAATGGCTTGGAGTCAGACTGCTGCCCAAAGCTTGACACTGTGATGCAGAGTGAATCCTGAGTGAAGGACTGCATTTGCCATTCAGCATTGCACTTTGTGTAAACACAGTCTGATGTTTTGGGGATTGTTAACAATTGTGCTGCACAGTTGGTACTGAGATAATCACTGCACCGTCCCCAGTATATTTTAACATCCATAAAGCGTTTGAAGATCTCCTTAGAAAATAAAACCTAAAAAATAATACATAGATATATCATGCTGTAGATAAAAGGGACAAAGTTCTAGTGAACACAGTGGCTTGATCTATAATACCCCACTTTTATACTTAAGCTTTTCCTGACATCCATATTTCAGAATATGAAATCTTAATTGTTACCTGTTCCGTTTTATTTGCAGCATAACTGAAACAGATGGCTCAGATTGTGGCAGTGTGTTACGGAGTTTGAAGAGAATTGATAGTTTGTTGGTTAGCAGCAGAGAGACAACAGGTGAGAGAAGAACTTTTAGTTAGATGTTCATGTGGGTTGGGACCTCGCCAAGCACTGGAGTCTATAGGGATCGGTGTTTACAATATGCCTAGTGGGTTACCAAATGAATTCCATTGCTTACTGAAGCATATTATGAATGTGGAAAAAAACTATAATATATGCTTATATGTTTGCTCTTTTAATAGGTCTTGTAGTGGTGTTTTTTGATGGGGGAGGGAATCTGTTACTATGAATTAGAACAGTTTTACTGAATCAGTTCAACTCAGTGTCTCGAGTATAGTTCCAATAAGAGCTCAGACCCTGAGTAGATGCTTGTGATTCCTTGTGGGCTACTGCCGTAATTGAGAGTTAACTGAGAGACTAACGAACGCTGATTCTTCTCTAAAGTCTCTGATCATATTATTGCCTTGTCTGCTCAGTGTGACTTGTTGGAATTAAACATACTGTGCTGAATAGTAAAATAAGAGGTCTACCATGGAACCTTTCTATTTACCTTGCTCCCCTACTTTTTACAAGGCAATCTAGTTTTTTTTTGTGTGTGTGCATAATTTATAACCGCTATCTAATCTGTCAGACTTAAAATGATCATTTTTTACACTTTTGGTAAAGGGCCACATTAATGAAAATACCAGTTAGAAAGCAAATGTGTAAACTACAGAGAAGAACTACTGATGTTAATGGGATACAGTGTTGTGTATGTAATTGTGCCTTCCTTTGTGGGCTGACCGACAGTGCTCCACAGCACAAGGAGTTTCATCCGATTTAAAATATATGGTGGGCATAGATTTTCCCCATACCTAACCCTCCTCTTGCTCCTCTCAGGTGTCCCCACCACTATCAGTAGCCTGACCTCTGCCCCGAATTCATGGGTTCCTACATCCAGCAGCTCCAGATTTGAGTGAGTGGCATTGTGACTTGGCACACCAGACCACAGGGGCAGATCTGAGTGGTATTGCAACACCCCTTTCCCCATCATGACACAGGGGCAGACGTGCCAAATTTGAGTCAATGATGTTGTGATGTGGCATATGGGGTTGCAGCACCACGATGTAGAATTGGCCCAGCTAAAATATGGTCAAACTGTGCCCTGGGTGCTCCAGAACCTATGGACCTAGTGTCGCCTAAGGAGCCTCAGCTCAGATGGCTATGGAATGGTTTTCTGGAGTCTGACGTCCATATCTGTAAGTTAGGTGACCCTCTTCAGCACATGGATTCACTGGATTGACATTCTGAGAGAAAGTTGGCCTGCTGCAGAAGCCACAGCTTCACTCCCATAAACTTCATTGTTCATGGTCTAAGGATAAGAAACCTTCCAGGTTTCAGTACCCCTAAATCTTTTGTCTTCCAACCGCTCTGTGCAACTGCAAGCTTTGATCGCAGAGCACTCATGAACTAATCCCTTTCCAAACTGAAGTGATTTTCCTATGTGGCCAAAAGTTGGTTGAATGTGATTAACATAGCGTTTTAAACTCTGCATTCATTCATCTGTAATGACAAAGATTTAATGATAACGTCACTCTGGTATGGTGTCATAAACATGTTAACCCTTTATACTGGCTCAAAATGAATGTGTACACTGAGCCAGGCTTTCATACAGTACCATTTAGCTCTAAAACTGGCGCATCTGGGGCCCAGAGGATTATTCAGGCATATCTAGGTCCACGAGACCATCTGTTGGCATAGTGCTGACATAAAGGCTCTATAGGGCAGCATAGAATAGAATTGGGATAAGAGGGAAGATGTGTGTGACCAGTCATTGACTCTTATTTCCGTCTCTTGAGGCTGATATAAGATAGACAAGCTCCAACACAGTTTAGGGGACTGGTCCTGTATTCAATGTCCATAAATAACTGTTGTTTGCCAAAGGAAGTTTGGTACTCCAAGGTCCCCTTTGCCGACTTGCTGTGTGTGCAGTTTGGCTCTAGCTGGGGACCTAGCCAATTCCATATCACCTCCATGCCCTTTGTAAAGAGGTTTGAGACTTACAGATTAGAAAAAAAATTGTTTACAAGGTAAAGAGGTTTGAGACTTACAGATTAGCTTGTAAACAATTTTTTTTCTAAGCACTTATTTACTAGTGGGTGCATATGTCCGTGGCCCTCATTTATTTTTGTGGGGAGCCTCTATCCCAAACTATGGATTTTAGAGCTTCTATACATGTTCAGTATGCATTTTTATTGCATTTTACAGAAACTCTTGAACTAAGATTTAATAGTTCCATGTTTTCGCAATGTTTTTGACCTTGGGCATTTAAGTGTAGTTACATAATGTTAGACTTCTGCCCTTTAAACTTATGGGTCACTTGTTTTTTGTCATTCTATTTGCCAGCAAAGTGCTAGTACTCTTGGATTACTAAAATATCTGGTTGTGGTTGTCATGACAACTGACAGGGCCACAGTTACAGGGCATAGGTGACTTGGCAATTGCTTTTCATATGCCTGACATTTAAATCTTAAAAAAATAAAAATAAACAGAAATTTGGTAAGTTCCTGTGTATGACTGTTTGTTTCTTTGTTCTCCTTAAAAGGAAAAAAGATACAGGTGGCCTCTGGCACCAGAGCAATACCTGCTTCAGATGTATCATTGGCTGAAAAGGACTCAGATGAGCTTCCACTAGATAATTTTGAAAAAGAATTGAGGATGCGGAAGTTTATATTAAGAACTGAAAAAAGGGGAAGTTGTTTTCAAAGTAATAATGGTCTCAGTCCTGACTCTGTAGAAGAGAATATAGAACAAGAAGAGGAGACATCTGAAAATAATTACCCTGTCTCCCCCAGTTCATCTGAATTTCGTGGTTGTAGTCCTGGTTGGAGCAGTGCATTCTATGGAGGTGAATGCTTTAGTTCAGAAGTTCACAATTATGTGAAAGAACTTGGGAAGCAGGAAGTAAATGAGTCACAAAATATAAACTCTAAAAGAGTGGTAAGTACTTTGATTTATGAAAATTTGGTTGTATTGTGATTCTTACTGATAAAGGTAGGATATTTAACAATAGAAACGAGGAGGTGATGGTCCTCTTTTTCCTCACAATGTTAATTTAACATACGCTCCTTTTTATCCAAGTAAGCTTGTTGCATAAACATAAGATTAAAGTGTTTTATAGCAGAATATTAAATTAATAATCAGATATGGCGGTTCATTACTTTTCTAGAGAAATGACATATTTGATTTTAAAATCTTGTATAAATCAGGCAAATGTAGCTTGATATAACTATATGCCAAGTAAAAGAAAGGTAGGCAAATCACATTATTCTTCTCTCCCTCACCAGTAACATGAATGGTCTCTTTGTTCCATCCTTTAAAAATTTCTTAAAGAAAGGCTGAATAATTTTGTATTGATGAAATTGAATATGATTAATGTGGTGAAAATACACTTGTTTGAACCAGTTATTTGCATATTTATAATTTTGCAATATTATAAACTTCAGCATATAATCCACACATTCTGACCAAAGCAGTGTTAGGAGTAGGACATGGAGTGATAGGAACCTTTGGCAACAGTGGGTGGGGGAAGCTGATGTCTATCTAGGATTAGCTTGATGAGTGGATGACAGGAAAACTGGGTGGGTGCTGAGATGTCTGGAATTGCTGGGGTGTAGAAACCTGGGCCTGGAGTTGGTTCCTTGGATGAGGTTGGTGGTGCTAGTGGGAGTAGTCCTGTGGTGTGGTGGTTGGACCCGCTCCTGCACTCACCAGTGGCAAGGAAGAAATGGAGCAATTCAGCTTCAACCCACTCTTTTCTGCTGACTCGCAGATACATCTCTCTGCTTCCTGCTGCCAGTGAGTGAGGGGGTGGTTCCATCCATCCAAGAGATATGGGAGCTGGGGGAACAGAGCATGCTGGAGCTGAGTCACTCTGCTTCCCACCACCCACTGCTGACTCCTCCTGCTGGCATCAGATCCTCCTGTAGTCACGCAAGCCACCCTGGGCTCTGTAAGGTCCCCCAAAGCATGAAGCCTGCGATGGCTCCCCCAAACTGTCCTATAGATGGGATAGCTCTGCCTTGAACCCATAAGAGAAGAGGCAGTTTTTTAGTTACTCCTCAATGGAGCACAGGCTCTCGTCTAAGAGATGTGAGTGAGACAGAATTGCACAGTGATATTTAACATATCGGCGAGGGAAAAAATACCAAAGAAACCCGCCATAGTAGCATTTATCTTCAGAAACTATACAAAAGTAAGGAGACTAAAAGGAACAATGACAAGAGTGAAATATCTGCAAGCTGCATAAAAACTTTTTTAAAACACTAGTGACTATAATATTTGCTCAAACTAAGTCTGTACACAAAATTTAAAAAGAAATCCATATGAGGATCAAAAAAAGCCACTATGGCTGAACAGAATAAAAGAGGAGGTTGGAGGCATAAACAGGGTCTGAATGAGCTCTCCCCTAATGTGCAGCTGGGGAAAAAGACTTCAAGAGCAAATTGTAGTTGAATAAGCCAACCTACACTGCTACGTGCACAACAGTGGGAACTGCTGTGCTAAAATAATGGATTTTGGCCGGTATTGGGCTACCAGTCATCAAAGGTGAAAGTAAGTGGGTGCACCCTTGTGTTGAACTGCAGTAAAAGCCATCGGAGTTATTTAAAGAGCTGGCAGGGGCCCAGATTGCAGTAGGACGGTATCTGTAAGAAATTTCAAGTTACTTTCACCGCTGCCAGTCACTCTAGATATTAAATCTGCTCCTTGTTGCAGCTGACCTCACTTGGCATAAGAGTTATGGGGGGCGGGGGGAAAGACATCTAGTTTTCAAAGGAAGTCAGAGCTTATGAGGAAAATTGGAGCAGAAACACGGGCAGGTCAAGTCAAGTGTAAAAGTATAAGTAGGCAGACCTAAAGATAATTTGAAGAGCAACTAGCAAAAGACTCAGACTAATAGCAAAAATTTTACCCACAAATGAGTTGCTGCCAAACAGGCTACTGGCTGATGATGATACTAAAAAGCACTCAAGGAAGACTAGGACACTGCAGAAAAGTTCAGTTACGTCTGTGCATCAGTCTTTCCTTCAGAGACTCTGAAGGAGATTCTCACACCTGAGTCGTTCTTTATTCTATGACAGTTCTACAAATGTCACCTAAAAAGTGCCGATAGAGAAGGTATTGGGAACAAATTGATGAATTAAATAGTGATAAGTCATGAGGGAGGGATGGCATTCACCCGAGTTTGAAAGCACTCAGATGTGAAATTGCAGAACTACTAGCTATGGTGTAGAACATATTGCTTAATCAGCCTTTGGAAGAGCTAATATAATGTTTCTTTTTTTTTTTTTTTTAAAGTGATCCTGGCAATTACAGGCTGATAAACTAATTTCAGTACAGAGCAAACAGATTGAAACTATAGTAAGAAACAGAATTAAAGTCAACACTGCTTTTCTGAAAGGAAATCATGCCTGGCTAACCCATTAGAATTCTTTGAGGGAATCAGCTACCATGTGGACAACCATATCCAGTTGATATAGTGTACTCAGATTTAAAGATCCTACATCAGAGGATCTTGAGCAAAATAAGAAATCATGGAATATGAGAGAGGTGATATCATGGATCAGTAACTGGTTAAAAGAAACAAAGGATAGGACTAAATTATCCATTTTCACAGTGGAGAGAAGCAAACAATGGAATCCCTCAAGTTCCTGTAGTGGGATCTGTGCTGTTCAATGTATTGAGGTGTGATCTAGAAAGTTATGAAGAATGAGGTGGTAAAACTAGTAGAGGAAACAAAATTAATCAAGATAGCTAAATCCAAAACTGAAGTGCTACAACAAACTCTGAAAACAGCCTGACTGGGCAGCAAAATGGGAAATGAAATTCAGTGTTGATAAATGCAAAGTAATGTACATTAGAAAACATAATACAAACTACGCTTACAAAATAATAGGGTCTGAATTAGCTGTTATACTCAGAGATATAGGAGTCGTCATGTCATAGTTCTCTGAAAATATCTGCTGAGGATGCAGCAGTGGTTAAAAGTTAACATTAGGCCCATTCAAAAAGGGATAAATGAAACAAAAATATCATAATGACCTTTTAATACTGAATGCAGTTTTGGTTGGCCCATCTAAAAAAAAATATTAAAATTAGAAACAATACAGAGATGGCCAACAAAAATTATTAGTAGTCTGGAACAGCTTCTGTAAGAGGAGAGATAATAACAATCCCAATCTTTTAAATATCTGATAGATATCTCTAAAATCATGAAGAAACTGAATAGTGAAGTGTTAATTACCCTTTGTACCACAAGAATCAGGGGTTATCCAATGTAATTAATAGGCAGCAGCTTTAAAATAAGCATAAGGAAGTGTGCTACTTCATGCTACAGAATCAACCTGTGGAACTCATTGTCTGAGATGTTGTGAAGGCCAGAAGCATAACTGGATTTTAAAAAAGAATTAGATAAGTTAATGAAGGTTAGGTCGATCAATGGCTATTAGCTATTAGCTCTGGGTGCTGTCGATCAATGGCTATTAGCCAAGATAGTCAGGGACGCAATCCCCATGCTCTGGGTGTCCCTAGCCTCTGACTTCTAGGGGCTGAAACTAGACAAAAGTGGTCACATAATAATTGCCCCCCATTCTGCTCATTTTCTTTGAAGCTTCTGGCATTGGCCACTGTTAGAAGACAGGATACCAGGCTTGCTGGATCATTAGTCTGGCACTGCATGGCTGTTTTTAAAGGTCTTGATGAAAAATATATGTAAACATAGTTTGTTCATGCATGAGGTGACTTTATCTCAATAATTATATACTACCCAACTGGGTAAAATATTAGTGTCAGTTAAATTTCATCTTCTTCATTTGAACTGATTGCTAGTTATCCTAGTTATTTTTTCAAGATTAGAAGACTTTTTAAATCATCCAATAGGTTCCAAACATCAAAAGTCAACCTTTCATTTTCTAACTTTGATTGTGTACTGGTCACCAACTTTCTTTCACTGAGGGACTTAGGATTTTGTATTTAGTCGTGTAAAGTTCAAATTAATTAGCTGTATATTTAATATTTTCCTATTTGTCCATCGTGCTGAATCTGATGAACATGGAGTTATAAATCTTTAGCCAAATGCACAGGGATTTAGTTATGTGACTCCTATTAGTGTTAATGACCTAAACCCTTGTATGTCTTGTCAAAAACATACCCCTTCATGATAGGATTTTTTTCCCTCAAATTCAGCTTCTAGTAAATAGATTCACTTTTAATGGGAAAGATTTATCAATCAGTTATTTGATAGACTGTATTAGCTCTGAGCAATGTGTGTACTGATCTTGCTCACAGTAGTTCTGTCTAATGCTTTCCGTGAACTTGTCCATTTTAAAATGCTTTCTGCTTCATATAACTGGATTGCCAACGATTTAGCTTTGGAGCCAAGTGCAAAAGCCATCACTTTGAAAAACCATGTCACTTTATGCTCTAATATCCTCATTTCCTAATGACTATGTCAGCAGATCTCCTTTTATGATTCTGTTTGGTTTGCTAGTTTTAATTTTATGTATCAGATTGCAATTATTGTTTTTTCTCTCTAGTACGAATTACTTTTCTCCGGTCTACTAATTGTACTTGTACTATTCCCATTTTGAGCACTATATGTAAAAATGTACTTTAACTTATATATTCTTGTACTTTAGTGACTTGTTTAGCTGTACCACACAGCTCTGGGGATGTGTACTCTGTAACCTAGCACATGCAACATATTTTTGAAGTATCAGGTCACATGTCAATTTCTTATATGGCCCATAACTGGTAGAAATGAATATCTTATGGAAAAATCCTATGGTATTGAATAGGAAATGGCCACCTTGCAATAGATAAATTTAATAAGGATTAAACCAATATTGTCCAAACATATCTATATATAAAGACTTTCCCATAAGCATTCTTGCCAGACCACTTCTTTTTAGAACAGTCACCTTAATGGTCCAGGCCACCCATTTATTCTCCCCTCTTAGTCCAGAACACATTTGGGGATGATGTGTCCCTTCTCCTCAGGAAAGTGAAGAAGGAACTACTACTATTGCCTCATTTGTCTTGATTTTTATAGTGAGTAAGGTTGAGGTCAGACTGCACCCTTGGGAGAAGGTATTTGAATACCACCAAATCAGATGTCCTTCATAATCCAAATAATGGTCGATAGAATATAGCCAGGCTGAGCATTGTTGACAAAATAAATAAGACATGCCACGCTCCATATATTCTAACATAATTAAAAGTGAAAGTTAAGAATCTGAATAGCTGAAGAACTTCTCCTGTAAACAGAGTTACTCTACCTCTGAGAAGCAATAGCTGGTGTCTATGGTAGGGGTGTGCAAAATACACCTGGCAAGCCACATCCAGCCTGCCTAGCATTTCTATACGACATGCTCTGCTGATTAGCAGAACATGCCAGCAGCATGTGTTCAGCTACCCCTCTCAAATCCGTCCTGCATCTGTGCTGCTCCCAAGAAACCGCTAACAGCTGTGTAGAGATGGGGGAGAGAAGAGAAAGGCGAGGGCTGAAGTCAGGGTGTCCCCTGTTCCGGTACCCCATCTCTGCAGAGCAGTGATCAGAACCCTTTGTTCATTGGTCAAACCTTAGCCCCACCCCAGGTTATCAGGAAGGCCACTAGTAAGTGACCAGGGAGCTTTGCAAACAGAGGCAGCTTACAGGGAGTTTTGTGAGGAAGTTGAAAGGGTATTAGGTACACTTTAGTACACAGGAACTATCCCAGATTGAGGTGTCATTAGAGGAGGTTTTGGAACAAATTGATAAACATAACTGTAACAAGTCACTGAGACCAAATGGCATTCACCCAAGAGTTAAATATGAAATTGAGGAACTATTAACTGTGGCTTGTAACCTATCCTTTAAATCAGTTTCTGTACCTAATGACAGGAAGATAGCTAATGTGACACCAATATTTAAAAAGGGGCTCTACAGGTGATCCTCGCAATTACAGACCTGTAAGTCTGACGTCCGTACCGAGCAAATTAGTTGAAACTATAATAAAGATTAAAATTGTCAGACACATAGATGAACGTAACTTATTGTGGAAAAGTCAGCATGGATTCTGTAAAGGGAAATCATGCCTTACTAATCTACTAGAGTTGTTTGAGGGGGTCAACAGACACGTGGACAAAGGGGATCTGGTAGATATAGTGTACTTAGATTTCCAGAAAGCCTTTGACAAGGTCCCTCACCAAAAGCTCTTAAGTAAAGTAGGTTGTCATGGGATAAGAGGGAAAGTCCTCTCATGGATTGATAACTGGTTAAAAGACAGGAAACAAAGGGTAGGAATAAATGGTAAGTTTTCAGACTGGAGAGAGGTAACTGGTGGTGTCCCTCAAAGGGACCAATCCTATTCAGTTTATTTATAAATGGTCTGGAGAGTGGGATATACAGTGAGGTGGCAAAATATGCAGATGATACTAAACTGCTCAAGATATTTAAGACCAAAACAGACTGTGAAGAGCTTCAAAAAGATCTCCCCAAACTAAGTGATTGGGCAACAAAATGGCAAATGAAATTGAATGTTGATAAATGTTAAGTAATGCACACTGGAAAAAATAATCCCAACTATACAAACAATATGATGGGGACTAATTTTGCTATAATCACTCAAGGGAGAGATCTTGGAGTAATTGTGTATAGTTCTCTGAAAACATCCAATCTGCAGTAGCAGTCAAAAAAGCACACCAGGTTAGGAATCATTTAAAAAGAGAGAGAGAATATTTTATTGCCACTATATAAAATCATGGTATGTCCACATCTGCATACTGTGTACAGATGTGGTGACCTCCTCTCAAAGATATATTGACACTGGAAAAGGTTCAGAAAAGAGCAACAAAAATGATTAGGGGTTTGGAACAGGTCCCACATGAGAGATTAAAAAGACTTGGACTTTTCAGCTTAGGAAACAGGAGACTAAGAGGGGTTATGACTCGGTTGGAAAAAGTGAATAAAGAAAGGTTGTTCTCATAACGGAAGAACTAGGGGTCATCAAATGAAATTAATAGGTAGCAGGTTTAAAACAAACAAAAGGACGCTTTTCTTCATGCAGCGCACAATCAACCTATGGAACTCTTTGCCAGAGAATGTTGTGAAGGCCAAGATTTTAAGAGTTCAAAAAAGAACTAGATAAATTCACGGATATTAGGTCTATTAATGGCTGGGAATGGTGTCCCTCACTTTTGTTTGTCAGAGGCTGGAAATGGATGAGAGGAAAGGGATCACGTGATCATTCCCTGCTCTGTTTATTCTCTCTGAGGCATCTGGCATTGGCCACTGTTGGGAAGACAAGATACTGGGCTATATGGACATTTGGTCTGACCCATATGGCCCTTCTTATGTGCTTAAACTCAAATGCTTGGTGTCAAGCACACCAGGATCAATGTTGCAACTTAGTGTCACTTTCAAAAATCTTTAGGAGTCTCTTCAAGAAGGAACAGTTAAAGTAAGGGCTGTATTCTTTTGTATGGCAGGCACTTTTATTGAATTAATCTATAGCAGGCCCGCCAACAGGAGAGGATGGGGACATGGGAGCAAAGGGGACAACTGCCCTGGGGCCCGGAAATTCAAAAGGGTCTGGGCTTTCCGGATGCTACTACTGCTACTGTGGCAGTGGTGGCTGCTGCAGCCCTGGGCCTTTTAAAATACTGCCGGAGCATCACATAATATGCTCTGGGCAGCTCTGAGGGCTGCCTGGTGGGTGGCAGTAGGGTGGGCTACAGTGTTGTGTATACTCCAAGAAGTGCTGAGCACTGGCTCAGAAAGGAATCCCTATGCAGCCAGTTAATCTGGTTTTAAAGGTCTGGTCCATTTTCTTAATCGCTGGGCACATTTTGCATAAAAATGTAATGCCTTTCTCTCAACATTTTCTTTAAAGTTGTGATGAAATTAACCATTCATGCCCATAGAAATGAAGATCATATATAGCATTGTAGCATTTGGATAGTTTTCATCAGGTAGAGCCAGTGCTTCATTGACCTTCATGGGATTGTGGTAGACCCTGGGTGTTCACAGTATACCAGTACATAAGAAATTCATGTAAGGATAACATGATTATTGTTTGTACACAAGGAAAAATGCAAAGTCACAAATCAATAGCCTTGAAGTAGAAAACCTGCACGTTCCTCTGTAAATACTACTGTGGTGCAACATCTGATCACTGTAAAATCTTCCATGCAGGTTTTAGGTGAACCACAAACTCAACTTCAGCATCTGATCAAACCACCTAGAGACTTTTTAGTATTACTTTATAAGTCTGTTATTTTAAAGAATGTGCATGATGCATACAGGTTAATGGATTTAATTGTATCTTTGTTTTAAATATATTCTAAACAATTTGAACAAATCTTAAATCTGTCCTAAATGGATTCAACTTCCATTGGCTTTTAATGAGGGCTATTCCTACATATTCCAAGGATGACTGCAGCCAGCTAACTTTTTAAAAAGCTATTATTTTAGTCTTATTATTACTATTATTATTGCTTTAGAGCTCAAGAACCCTAGTCATAGGGCCCCCCGTCTAAAACAGAACGTTGTTTTTAAAAAAAGTGAAGTCTCTGAACCAAAGAGTTTACAGTCTGTGTTTCTTAAACTGTGTTCCACAGGACACCGGTGTGCTGCGGAGAACAGAATTCAAAATGGCCACCGTTAAAGGGGCAGCCAGCTTTTTATCCTCAATAACTTCCCCCAACCTTTTTTTCCCCCCTCATTAACTTTCTTCCTGACCCTTTTTTTTTCCCCCCCAATCAATAACTTCCCCCAACCTTTTTTTCCCCCCTCATTAACTTTCTTCCTGACCCTTTTTTTTCCCCCCAATTTTTTTTTTCCTCAACAAAACATCCTGGATGCTCCTCCTAAAAAAATATTGTTTGGTATTCCTCGGTCTTAAAAAGTTTGAGAAACACTGATCTAAGTATAAAGCAAGAGACAACAAACAGGAAAATACAAGTAAACAATGAAACAGTATTGGTCAATGTAATAAGCGGTGGTGTCTGTATTTTTTTAAATATTCAGTTTTAATTTTATATCACCCCTCTTTGTTGAAAGGTATAATTAGGCTTGGGGTAACTTTCTCCTCTATCAAAAATATACATTAATATTTTTCTTGGTGAATCTCCTGTTCCTATCTGTTGGATAGTTTCACTTTTGTTGCACAAGAATCAACCTTTTTATTTAATATATCAAATTGCTTCTCAGAGCTGCCCAGTAGCATAGCTTAATATTCAAATCTGAATATTTTCCATTTTATAGGAACTTGAACAACTACTAATGATCGAGACAAAAAATTATAGGAGAACTCTAAAATTCTACCAGAAACTTTCTCAGCAGGAGAGAAAAAACAAAGGTAAAATTAGTACTAACATGCTAATAAAGGTGCTCACCTTAAGTTATTCCATGCAAGTCTCACAACTGTACCTAAATGCACTTTTATGCTATTTTATATCTTAAGGTTCTGAGGTTAAAAGTATGTTGCCCAAATTGAGGGAACAGCTACAAGAAATGAAATCCAAGGTGGAACTTCTTGAATTGGTAAAGAAATACTTACAGGCAAGTCAGCTTTAATTTAACTTTATTTTTATTTGTTTGTTATAATATGTAACTGGATGCCCAAGTCAATAGACAACATTTTAAAAGTCTTATAAAGAATTAAGAAAAATGACTGAAATTAAAGTAATTGTTAACTAGTCTTGTTAAGAAGAAAGTGATTGTGGCTTAAAGTTGAATTGACTTTATTTTCTCTGATTTTTATTTTTTTATTTTCATCATTTTTCAATTATTTCCATTGCATTGCTTTGACTCTTCTTCTCACAGATCATGTATGTAGAGCAGTGGGGAGTGGAATCATGTGCACTTCTTACAGTAATTAACGTTACAAGAACTGATGTGTTGGACATCAGCCCTTTGGATGAGTCGTCCTTGCTCATTTTCTATAATATGAAGAAACACCAGTATAATAATCAAAACAAGTCAAGGATTTTACAAGCTGGAACACCACTTGGGTTAATGGCATATCTGTATTCCAGGTATGCTGTATTCTACAGTCACTAATTTACAGAGCAGAAAAACCATAATTTAGTTTAAAAATAAAGAATTCATACAAATCTGGCTTCATCTAAACTTGTATAAATTGTTTGTCAGCATCGTATAACTACTCCTTTGCCTGTCTTAACAGTATGCAGAAATCGTATTTACTTGCGGTCATTAGCATCAGGCAAAAAAAGGAAATTATGGGTGTGGTTGTGATCTGGATAAATGCTAAAACAAACACATTCTTTAATGATAAATACTAGGCAGTGGGTTTTTTTAGGTTCCAGCTCTGAATATTTCCACTGGATCACAGCTTTCTGGTGGCACAGGGCTGTAATGACATCTCATGTGATCTTCATTTATTTAGCAATCTCTGTTTTGGATTAAGAGCCAGAAATATATGAGCTTCTATTGAAAGTCTCAATTCCTGGGCCCAGCTGAGGTGTGCCCATTACAGGACCTGAGTGGGGACAAGTTGGCTGCTAGCCCTTGATCTTGGGACAGCCAAAAGCAAGCCTTTTATATTCACCCTAGCACCAACAGCATTTTGCTCATAGGTGACTGCTGGGGAAGAACACAAGGAGTCTTCACATGACTCCTCCCGAGCCCTCCTAAGTCCTGGGTCCATACATTGTCCCCACCTCTCCCTTTCCCATCTCATTACCTGGCGGGGGAGGGGGCTCTGTCCCAGACACTATTTCCTCCTCTCCCAGGCAACGTGACCAGTGACTAGAGGCTGTCTGAGATTGTGGAGAGTGCTGTCACCCTCTCTTCTCACCCAGGGCCATCCTTAGACATATGCAGAATATGCAGCTGCCTAGGGCACCACTACATTTGGGGATGCTGTGCATGCCTAGGGACACTGCCTCTGGGAAGGGACAGCAAGGTGCAGGCAGTGCTTGCTTTGGCAGCCAACCTTATCCTCCACCAGAGCCCCCATAGGCTTCACTCAGCCACAGCTCATCTGCTTCACCTCACTGGAGCTGGGAGCAGAGCCATGTTTCCAGGAGGGGGAACTCAGAAGAGGTTGGGGAGTAGCATCTGGGACCCCAGGTATGGGGCCAGCAGCTGGGAACCCTTGTAAAATGTGGGAGGAGCTGCCCAGATGCCTCCCTGTCTTGCCCCTGCAGCCCTAAGCTCAGACACCTCCCAACCCTGCAGGGAGCAGACAATATCCTCTGAGAGCATCAGACATCTTAAAGAACCTTCCTCCCCATCCCATTACCTGTCAAGGGAGGAGGGCTGTGTCCCTGGGCAGTGTTCCCTGCTATACCTAGTAGTGTGACCAGAGGCTGCCTGGGAGAGTGCAGCAGCCAGGCAGTGTGGCTGGAAGAGCAGAGGCTCTCGTACCCACCCCCAGCTGCTGGCCTCTTGCTCCTCCCTCAGTGGCATGGGGGGCATGACTCTTCTTCCCCCTACCCCCCCCTCCCTCCCACAAACACACACACACACACACACACACACAGTGCCTGGTTGAGCTAGTGATCCATTAACTCTCATTACTGGAGCTCAGTAAGCTGTGCTGGTGTGCTCTGTGTGCAGAGGGCAGGGAACAGCTGCCATAAAGCAGGTTTCACTTACATTTCTGCCACCTGAGAATTCCCTTAGGCAAAGAAACTCCCCAGCAGGTACCACGCAGGGCAGTTTTCCAGCTGCTTTATACAGTCAGAAGGGGAGTGGAGAATCTGGCCTTATAAAAATGAATTTGGAACGAAAACGTTCTAAAATATCCTATGACTTTCTCTCTGTTCCTCAAGATAATGATGAGGAAATGTCATGCAGCAAAATGTGACTTACAACAAAATACAAAAGGCTTTGCCATATAAAAAAGTCAGTACAGCCAGATTATCCTGTCCTCCCATTCTGGGTTTTGGGGGCTACAGTAGCAGAAAAGTTTGATTTAGATGGGAGGAGAGATCAGTATGATTCCTCCCCTCTCACTCTTCCTGGCACTCAGCCCTGGTACTTGAATTAGAGTCTAGCTTTGGGTCCAAGGCATGGTCTGCACCTAAAAATAAGATCATCCAAGCTACATCACTTGGGCTCTGAACAAGTTTGCACCATGTGATCTAGTTAGGTTGACCTGACTCCCACTGTAGATGCAGCTAGATTTGCTAGCTATCAGGCCCATAGATAAATTACATTGACAGAAATACCTCTTCCACTGATGTAAGAAGCATCTGTGCTGCAGCAGCATTACTCTGTCAGTTTTGCTGCTGTAGTGGTTGAACAGAGAGACTGTCATGATGGTGTGCGAACTTATGTTTTGGACCCTGAAAACTATCAGAGGCATCACAGTCCAGTGGATATGGCCCTGAACTGGGACTTGAGAAACATGGATTTCATTCCCAGTTCTTCCTATGACCTTGGGCAAGGAACTTCACTTCTGACTCCTTTTCCCCATCTGTAAAATGAGGATAATTATTCCTAGTTCCTTTTGTGACAGGATTTTGAGATGTATGAGTGAAAAGTGCTACATCAGAGATAGAAACTATCACCATCTTCCTCTTCAGCACTAGATGAAGTTATTAATCAGTATGGGAATGTCTATATACAGGTTGACCCTCCTTGGTCTGGTATCCTCAGCACCTGAGCAGTTCCAAACCAGGGAATTTGTTGGGCCTGGGAAGTCCATGTCAGCCCCCTCCTCTCCTCTGTTCTGCTACTTCAGCCTCCAGGACACCACTCTTCCATAGTCCTGCACCATGCCTGGCCCCAGCCTTCCCATTTTACCTTGCAAGTCCATGAGTCTCCACAGGGTCGCTGACGATGCTGGGCCAGGCGTGTTGCAGGACAAGGGAAGTCCAAATTACAGATGTTCAATCTAATTTGCTCATATAATTGGCTTCTATTATGGCATATTAGCTGACTTCAGTAATGTTGTCCAGCATGTAATTTCCTTTGGCATACACAATATTTTGATGGTAAATAAACTAAAGTTTTTAATAAAGACATGAAGTTCAGGAATTTGATGTTACTATACACAATAAATATAAATATGAAGAATAAGAATATTTTTTGGACACAGGTTGAAATTTTCCACAGGAAATTAAAATGTTGATAAACGCCATGCAGGTTTCCAGTGGGAACCTGCCTGGTTTCTTGCCAGCTAACCTGCCTGACTATATAGCAGACAAATAAATTCAGTCCTTTGAACAAGAAAGTAAGATCTCTCACTCAGTACTAATTAGAGTAGCAGCTGTCTTTAATCCATTCTTAACCACAGAATTTATAATAGAATAGGAATGTTGAAATTGTGATGGTTAATTTGAAAAATGTGTAATTTTGGAAAGTTAAATCAGTTATTTTAAATGGAATGGAATTTCAAATGGAATGGGAATTCTAAATTTTCTTTCTTTCAAAATAGAACTTTTTTTACTTCAGAATTTTCCATGGAATGGGAAATCAGACTTTTAATTTGCTCCATTTGTAACTTTTCTGTTGTGCTTTACTACGAGAAACACCGTATTATTGTTGTCTGAAGTTTTTTTATGTCTTCCACAGAAATGCATTTTTAGAAGGTTATGTACAGCAGTTCCTTTACACATTTCGTTATTTCTGCACACAAGAAGAATTGTTGAAGTTTCTTCTTGATAAAATCAACTGCACTTTATCCAGGTACAGTAACTTTCTATGAACAAGAAAAACTTAAACAACAAATAGTCTAGTAGCACCTTAAAGACCAACAAAACAAGTAGATGGTATCATGAGCTTCTGTGGGCAAAACCCACAGAAGCTCATGATACTATCCACATGTTTTGTTAGTCTTTATGGTGCTACTAGACTATTTGTTTAAGTTTTTCCTGTTACAGACTAATTTAGCTACCCCTCTGAAGCTTTTCTAAGAACAAAACTGTCCAAGTACTAGGAGGTTTTTCTATTTAACATGAAAGAAGTATTTCTTTAAAAAAGGGGGGGGGGGCCAAGCACCTAACTGAGTTGAGTCATAGATTAGTTTAAAAAATTCTTGTGAATAAGGAATGTCTGCACTATAAGTGTTACAGTGGTACATGTACATTGGTCAACTTAAATGTTAGGTGTGTAGACCAGGCCTAAGAATGGAACACAGTGAAAATAGAATAAGTTCTGTACTAGACAAAATACTCTTTTCCTGCTTCCACTTTGAACAACTATAGGCTTTAGTGAGAGTTTTACCTCAATAAATACCTGGGTAGTATGCCATTTTTGTAAATAAAACTTTTATTCCTCTAGATATATAAATGCCAGAGAAAGGGAAGCTTTGGTTGGTTGGTGGTTTGGTTGGTTGTTTCTGGAGGGGGGAAGGTTGTTTTTGTTGTTGGTTTTTAATAATACAACTGGCAGCAAATTCTTGAACTTTTCTCTTACTCTCTTAAGATTAGACTAAAATGACAATTTCAGTGCACTCACTGCCTTTCTACTATTACCAGTGCAAATGTGGATCCAACCTCTCTGCTTATCAAAATATACAATCGCAGTTTCTACATTCTGCAGGCTTGGATTGAAGACTGTTACAGTGTAGACTTTGCAGTAAAAGCTGATCTTTTGTGCACACTACAGGACTTCGTTTCTTCCAAGGTAACTTGTTGTTTTGGTGGAATCTTTAAGTAAAATGTCAACTAAATCAAATGTAGTTATGACAACAAGGAGACTTGTAGCGTCCCACATTTGACGAAGTGGGTCTTTGCCCACAAAGTTTATTCCCAAATCTTAGTCTTTAAAGAGCCACAGGACTCCTTGTTTTTGCAGCTACAGACTAACATGGTAAAGGAAGTTATGTTATATGGGTGAACAATATTATTAGGACCCCTATCTTTTTCGGTAATATAAGTGTGAAAAAATTATTCCTAGTAACACTTTATATGGCTGTAGTAAAACGTGAATTTTCTTACAAACAAAAATAAAAATGTTCTTTAGCTCTTCATTTATTACTTTGAAATGCCTATTAAACCTGCTTTCCATTTAGATTGCTCCATTAAATGGTCATGGTGAACGTTTGCTGGCAGTGCTTGAAAATGCAACTGGTGGGAAACATGGCAGCACATTCCAAAACTATAACCTGAATGAGTGGAAGGAGGAGGAAGAGGAGAATACAAAATCTTTACACTCATTGTGTAAAAAGCTGTCTGAAGAAGTGTCCCAAAAGGCATGTAGTTTCTTTAGCTTACTTTATATAGAATGCTGTTTTGTATATTTGTCTTACAAAAATAAAGGAATGTTGAATTTAACTCATTAGGCCCCTAATCAGCATAGCTCTAATATATATGCTTATATCTCATTGACTTAAAGCTCAGCTCAGCATGTGCTTAAATGACTTTCCAGATCAGTAATGATTTGCTATTTGTTATTTTGGTGAAAGCTTTAAGTAAAATGTCAACTAAATCAAATGGCGTTAGGACTACGAGGAGTCCTGTGGGCATCTTAGACTAACAGATTTATTTGGGTGTAGTTTTTGTGTGTGAAGACCCACAATATTTTAGAGGCAGTAAATGTTTGTCTGTTCCATTTTCTGTCTCAATTGCTGAATTTATTTTTTCTTAAAAATTTGCTATTGTTGTAAATAACCTATATAAGACATTTAAATGAACAGGAAAAAAGTTTGACTATGGAACTTCAAAACTAGTAACTTTACTGCACCATCCTGAAACACTATGCACTTACATAAAACAGAATTTGAAGACATCTGCTGAGACAAAGTAATTTCAGAGTGAGAATTCTGTAGATCATTGGTCATTAACCAGTCGGTTGTGACCAACTGGTTGATCCTGGGGAGTCTCCCAGTCGGTCACAATTGACAGGCTCCCTGCCTACACTGGCCCTACGTTGCTGGCCTGTTCCCAGAAGCAGCCAGTGTGGCTCTGTGTGTGGATGGCAGACAGGGCAGGAGTCTCAACATGCTACACCTACCTACAAGCACCTCTCCCCACCGCTCTCATTCATCAGAAACTGGGAGCTGTGGCCAATGAGAGCTAAGGAGGCAGTGCCAGCACAGAGGGGCAGCACGTAGAGCCAGTTCCTGCCCACCCTGAACAGTGTGGGGCTGAGCTGTAGCTTCGCTGTGCCGAAACTTGAGTATTCTCTCCTCCACCCAATAGTTTGTCAGACTGGACAGCATGTTGCAAGTGACAGATTGTTATAAAAAAATGAAAGTCTAGGGAATGAACACGTCACCAGTTCTTTCAGTGTTATGGTAGTCTAGCCCTGGGGCCTTAAATTCATTCCATTTCTCCTTAAACAAATTAAGTTCAAGAGAAGAATTCTTTAGACTAAAGAGATAAGTATGATTATTTAATACAAATTACAGCTAATTTTAAATTGCGTCATATTACTGTATGACTGGCAACTATAGCCAGCATATATTTGTCAGTGATTTGATTCATTTCTTGAAATGTCTAATTTTTATATCTTTAGGCACTGAAATGATAGGGTAGCAAAGATACTTAAGTGAACAAATAGTGTGAACATTTCATAGCAGTAATTATGTGTGAAACTTCTTTACGGGCAAAATTATGTGCTTTATTATGACTAGCAATAGCTGTATTGAATACACTAAGCCCAGCTATATTAAACTACAGAGAGTCTTAGCAGCAGCGTTCCTCTTTTTAGTTAGATTTTATTTTCTGGATAAGACTTGCAATAAACTGCCCAATCCAGGCAAAACCAGTAAGAAATATAAATATGATCTATTGAACTGTAGAGAGCACTAAGACATTTTAATGAAATTGGGCCTAAAGAATGAACTATTTTAAATAATTCTCTGATAGCTTCATTGAATTCTGTCTCCGTTTTTAAAAACTATTGGCTTTATGCATAGACTTAGTTTTCTGGACATGTTGTTAGTTTATTCATGTAGCTTTGGTTGGGCTTTATGCATAGACTTAGTTTTCTGGATATGTTGTTAGCCAACCAAAGCTACATCAATAAACTAATTTAGTGAATGTTTTATGGGACCACTACAGAAGCCTTTGGGTCCACATAGGTCTCTCTCTATAACAGTCAGTGCTTGCCTGACATCTGCGTGTTACAAACATTTGACTTATGAACATCTGCACATACAAATAAAAGCTCAGCTGCAGCCTCAGGCTCAGGCAAGAAGCACAGGTGATTACACAGCCAGCACCTGGAGAGAATACAGAGATTAAGGCAAGACTACACAACACACAGACCCCATTTAAGTCAGCTCTGCTGATATTAATAAAATGCAATATTTACCCGATTTCTACCCATGTGACAGCACTTTTCATGAGCAATGACAGTCGAAGAATTTAACTACTAAAACGCATATCAACAGACGATCATTACACTGACTACTTTTTTGTTTTGGCTCCCACTTGCCAGCCACATGTAGATCCCCCACATAAACCCAAACTGCAAACAAACTGGCCATAGGCAGCATACCAAGTTATTAATAAATATTTTGAAACCTTTACCTTTTCTGTCTGCTACCATGTCTCCTTTCCTTGCTCCATCATCTCCCCTGGTGCCTGCTGCCCCCCAACTCCTCACCCTCCTCTGCTGTCCTGACTCCTGCCCTTCGCACTGCCCTCAGCCCTCCTGCGTCCTGTCCCCCTCCACCAGCCCTTTTCTCTCTCCTGTGCCCACACCTCCAGTAGACCCACTCTGATCAGGTGAGCTACCCCTCCTCATCCCCTCTTCTAACACCTCCATCTACACACCTGCCCTGCCTCTTTCCTCTGGTGCTGGTCCCTCCCCTTCAGTGTCTGCTCTTCTGCTTCACCCCCAGAATCCCCTGGCACCTGCACCTTCCCTTAGCCCTACACCCTCCTGGTGCCTCCCCCTTCCCTCACTGCCCCTGGCCCCTTTGCCCTCTTTTTCCCTGATGCCCACCCCCTCACCACCCTCTGCCCCCATACCCCTCATGCCCATCTGTGCCCTCACACATGACTTGCTCCATCCCTACCTTTCTCATGCCCACCCCTTCTTTCAAGCCTTCTCCCAGCACCTCCCCCTTTCCCCTCTAACCTCCAATGCCCTTCCCCTCTCCTCTCCTCTCCCAGCATCACCCTGTACTTCCTCCCACTGACACCTCCCCTCCTGCCCTTTTCCTCATTGTCTCCACTTGGCCCCCTGGGATTTGTATCTTCCCTCTCCCTTCTGCCTCCGCACAAGGTTCTCCCCTCCCCTCCCCCTCCACACAAGCCCCTTCCTCTCCTACCCCTTCCCCCTAGTTTTCCTCCTGCCCTGCCCTTCCGTACCTTCTGCCTTCCACTTGCGGGGCCGGAGTCTGCACTTGGGCCCCAAAAGTCCCCAAACCGGAAGCTAGGCCGGCACCACGTGGCACCGCACACTTTTAAAGTCCTGGGCCGTGATATCACGTCACGCCCTGGCATCTCCCCGGTCACCAGCAAACTCTGTGCAGCGTGCACAGGCAAGGGGAAAGTTAACACTGGCATGGATGGGGGGTTCTATGGCCGCCCCTTCCCCACCCACTCTCCCAGCCCTGGACTGTCCCTGCCATGTGCAGCATGCGCAGGCAAGGGAGAGCCAACTGAATGCTGTGCACAGCAGGGACGGCCTGGGGTCGGGGGGAGGACAGCCATGTGTGGTGTCCTGGGGGCAATTCCCCTCCCCCGCACCCTCTTCGCTACGCCTCTGGGTTAGTGCCATCTGGTCCTGGTGACTTGTTACTGTTTAGTTTATCAGTTTGTTCCAAAACCACCTTTAATGACACTTCAATCTGGGACAATTCCTCAGATTTGTCACCTAAAAAGACTGGCTCAGGCTTGGGAATCTCCCTAACATCTGGTGTCCTGGGGGCAATTCCCCTCCCCCGCACCCTCTTCGCTACGCCTCTGGGTTAGTGCCATCTGGTCCTGGTGACTTGTTACTGTTTAGTTTATCAGTTTGTTCCAAAACCACCTTTAATGACACTTCAATCTGGGACAATTCCTCAGATTTGTCACCTAAAAAGACTGGCTCAGGCTTGGGAATCTCCCTAACATCCTCAGCTGTGAAGACTGATGCAAAGAATTCATTTAGTTTCTCCGCAATTACCGTATTGTCCTTGAGTGTATCTTTAGCATCTTAAACAACTAGTGGAGCCACTAGACAATTAATAAACTTCCTGCTTCTGATGTACTTAAAAAATTGCTATTTTGTTTTCAGTATTCCTACTAAAAATGGCCATACTTGGGCAGACCGAAAGTTCGTCTAGCCCAGTATCCTGTCTTCCGACAGTGGCCAATGCCAGATGCCCCAGAGAGGATGAACGGAAGAGGCAGTCACTGAGTTGATACATCCCTTGTTGCCCATTCCCAGCTTATGACAAACGGAGGCTAGGCAGAGACATCCCTTTCATTCTGGCTAATAGCCATTGATGGACCTATCCTTGTTCTTTTTTGAACCTTGTTATAGTCTTAGCCTTCACAACATCCCCTGGCAAAGAGTTCCACAGGTTGACTGCATGCTGTGTGAAGAAATACTTCCTTTTGTTTGTTTTTAAACCTACTGCTTATTAATTTCATTTGGTGACTCCTAGTTTTTGTTGCATGAGAAGGACTAAATAACACTTACTTTCTTCATACCAGTCATGATTTTATAGACCTCTGTCATATCCTCTTTTGGTCATCTCTTTTTCCAAGCTGAAAAGTCTATCTTTATTAATCTCTCCACATGTGGCAGCTGTTCCATGTCCCTAATCCTCCTCATTTCCCTCACCACGGAGGGCCATACTCACCATAGCTGGAACTGAGTGCCACCATGCACAAGCACTCCCAAGCAGAAGTGTCAGTAAAATTAATGAGTTTTCTTTTGACTTCTTAAGCTCTGTTCCACACATTTATTAGGTTAAAAGCAGATCATTAAAAACTTCTCAGAAGTCTTTTATTTAAAATTTATGAGAAGCAAGGGAAGGGAGTTTTGAATCTTAACTTGCACTTTGTGGCCTCTATGCTGACAATGTGTGTTTTTTAATTGTAGCTGCTGCTATTGAAGCTTTGAGGAGTACCCTGCCTTACTCAGGCATTGTCGTCATCATCATCATTGCCCTTCATGTCTACTGGCATATAGGGCAGCAACAAAAGTCCTCCACTTCTAGTTGAGAAGGAATTCTTTGTTGCTGTTTCTGTAACAAATGGTCACGGTTGTTAGCCTTGAGCCAAACCCCCAATCTTGGAGGATCGGTGTGCATGCTTAGTCTGTCTCTTCCCTCCCAACCCCTTGACTTTTCCAGCTTGGTTGAACCTACCAGGAGCACTAAGCTCCCACTGGCATAGCTTCTGGGATCATAAGAACATGCAAGCTGCCCTGCCCCAGCAAGACGCATGCACAAGGAGCAGTCTCAGGCATTCTGTAGGAATAGAGAATTAGGAGCAAGAAGGGGACCCTGCATGATAAGTTCAGCGAACCCTGAAAGCCAGTGCTGCATCAATCTTTGAGCAAAGGGCCCGGAGGGTGAATATTACAGCCTGCAGGAAGGAAGAAAAAAAGCAGACAGGAGAAATTACTCTTGGGGGAAAAGTAGAGGGAGATGCACTGGAATGTAATGGGCTTTCTCTAGAAGCAGTGAAGAAATGCTGTAGGTTCTTGTGGATTTACATGTTCAGTCATCACAGTCTTGCCTCCTTTTGTAGTTCATGGAGAGCTCCATTACAGCATCTCCCTATAGCCCCCTCAACATTCCATGAGGCTCCAGGGGCTGGATTCCTACCCCTACTTCTTCACACTAGGGAATGCTAAGGACAATCGCAGCTTCCCATAAGTTGATCTGTGAGAACCAAATTTTTTGTATGGGTAGCTAAAACGAATATGAATTTTCTTTCCACTTCTTAAGCTCTGTTCCATACATTTGTTAAGTTAAAAGCAGATCATTAAAAATGTGACAGACTTATTTTCTGCAATGTTTTCGTTGTTTAATAAAATGTTATTGATTTGGAAGATAATACATCTTTATTCGTTCCCAATATGTGCTGCTGCAGAATGCCTACTAGTACTGATGTACTTGTTGCATAGTGTGATGTAACTCATAGCAGTAGTGACTGTCCATGTAATCATCATGAATATTCAGCAAGCATCATAAAATGAACAGATGATATATTCATTGATGTACACCAAGCGCCACACAATTCTTCATAGCCCCCAACCAGAAAGCCAGGGACAGCTGCTTTCTAGTAATGTCTAGTATACTACAAGACATTACTACAGCTCACAGTTGACGTTCACTTTCAGAGTCTCCTTAAGCCATATAACTACTCACTGATCTCTTCTAGTAATCCTTGTGTCTGGCTGCTCAAACTCAGGAGACAGCCCATCCATCCCAGCTGCAACTTTCCCTTCTTTGCCTCATAGATATTATTGAGGGCGCAGTAGGCAGCTTTAAATCTTTGGAATTTTTTTTCACTGAGATCTAATATTGTCAGTAGACCATGCCAACATCCCTTGAATTTATCAAAAGCACATTCAACTGTCATTCCACAGCTGCTGTGCCAGTAGTTGGCTCTTTCCATGCTGCTGCAAAGGTAGCCAGCAGGCAGCTTCATCTTTCCATGCTGCTGCAAAGGTAGCCAGCAGACAGCTTCATGAGCCGATAGCCCTGGGATCGCTATTGGCATTTAAATGTCACCAATGGTAAGCCACTGTCATGAAAGAAAGCCCCTGCTTGCAGCTTTTTGAATATAAGTTTAAAGAGGCGAGCACCATGCAACTTCCTTCGTGAGCAGCTGGTATGCTAGGTGGGGGACAGTGTTGCTTTCCCAAACTGCCAGCCAGGCCCTGCCCACACTCCACCCCCAGAACATCTACTGTAGGTGTACTGGGTGCAGAGTGTTGCTATCCTCAAGTGCCTGCCCTCCCTGTGCTCCAGCCGCCCTCCTCCCCATGCTGCAAAGTTGGAGAGGCTGGGGCCTCGTGCCCATCTGCCTGCCCTCCTCATGCTGGGGGGGAGCAGGATGCTGCCCCACCTTCCCATGGCGTGGGAAGCAGCTTGGCTCCTGGGGTGCAGGGCCTCTGCAGAAGGGGCAGGGCTGAAGGTGGGGCTGCGAGCTTGCCTCCCCCAGCCCTACCTTCACTCACCACTCATTCCTTCCTTGATCAGACAATGCTGATGTTGGTGAAGCATCTCTGGTGATCCATGAATGTTTGCATAACCAGAAAGAAGTAGCCCTTTCTATTGATGTGTTCTGTGGCCAGGAGGCCTGGTGCCAAAATAGGTATATGTGTGTGCCATCTGTTGCTCTACTCCAGTTTGGGAACCCCTTGCTGCAAATCCATCCACTATGTCCTGCACATTGCCAGTAGTCAGAGCTCTTCCTAGCAGGGAATGATTAATGGCTCTGCACACTTGCATCATGACAATGGATTTTCCGACTCTAAACTGATTTTCCCACTGACTGGTAGCCATCCAGCATTGCAAGACAGTGCAATTGTTACTCGCTTCTCCACTGAAGTGTCTTATTCTGGTGTTCCTGAGATTGGGATGATGTGTGGTGAGGGGGCATGAAATGTCACATGTTCCCCTCAAATACCAGGAAGGGGAGGGGCAAGAGACCAGCAGTCGGTGATTAGCAGAGGGCCTGGAGCTGAAAGTAGAGCTCAGGCCTGCTCTTGCATTCAT